AACCAGAATAGAATGTTGCATCCGTTAGTTGACCAGTTTCTACAGTGGTAGCTCGCTGTGTCCGGCCTTGTAGTTCAAAGATTTGTGCTCCGTTGTCGTCTTCAATGAGTGCTACCGTGTATTCCCCCAGACCATTGAAGGTGTACACAACTCCGTCCAGGGATTTGATGTGAGGGTCTCCCCAGTTCCAGACTTTTGAGAATTTCCAAAAAGAAAAAAATAATCGACCAAATTAATTCGACTCAATGCCTGCATTTCCATTTGTTCTATGAAATCAAAAAAAGGCTCTGAAAGGCTTCAGAACAATTTGCCAGACTCTCTCCATAAATATTGAACCAACCATAATTGTGCATATCAAATTTGTAACTACGCAGCCTTTTCCATTGACAAGAATAAGGGCTCAGGCATGGACCTTTGGAGTGGGTTTAAAACAAAACTCCCTCTGTCGCAATGAATTGAAAATGTGCAGATGTAGTAAGAATATGGATATCTATGATTGGACAGCTGCGATCTGAGAGTTGCAGAATTTTCTTCATCAACCCTTGTCTGCGTAAAAGTAACAATAATGCCAATAATGCCAACTTACACCAAAATGGTGGTTCATATCTCCAGCAACCCATGGCCGGTCTGTAGTAATCGTAGAGGTGGCAGAGTGTAGAAGCTGAACAGCAGTAATACCGAGTAAGTACTTCCTTATCTGTGTGTACAAACACGAAGTTTGCTTCTTGTTTCAAATCAAACATCAGATCAACATATTAGATTCACGATAACAATACCTAAGTGGCTCAAAACTAGGGCCTAATGTCACAGAGTTTTGTAAACAGAAAACAGCAGATTGACATGCTATGCACAATTGTTTTCTGTGCAAATATCAGCCGACAATCAGTCATTAGCAATGTGCACTACATGAAATTTGGCTGGAAAACCTGGCTTGTTTTACTTGTCAAATATTTTCCTGTTTTGTGTGTGACATAAAGCAGCTCCGTGAGAATGTCATTGACGAATCTATTAAATATCTCTCATCTGTGGGTCGATTCAAATATGCCTATATAAAAGAGCTCTCATCTCCCGATACCTGACAAAACTTGCTTCTCATTTGGTTTTTCAGCAATTTTATTTTTGCTCTCTCTTTATACATCAACGTACTGTTTTAGTTTATCCGTAAATGTTCATGCTTAGGTTCTGTCTTGGTCCAACTGTCCGTGTGTACTTGTTCTTGTTTCTGTTTTGTATTAGTCCGTCCAAGGCATCTCGCCACAAGCCTAGGCTTCTAGAGGATGCCTCCATACCTATATTTTCGCCTTTTACACCGGCCTGTTTGACAATTCTATTTATTTACTAATTCGTGTATTCTTTGCTTGTATTTCTCATTTGGTATGGAAATAAATGTGAGTTTACTGACATTTCACTTTGATGTGTGCATTTTGATGGAAGCTAGGTTGCTCCCGTCCCAGCTGCCATTGTACATGTAAAAGCAAAGTCAGACGTCGTTATAGTTCAGGTGTAATGGTCTCTGGTCTAAATCTAATATTGCAAAGCTGTTGGGGACATTCAATTATTCAATTGGGTGCTTTCTTATTAAGTGCTTACCATACCACTGGTTAAACAGACTAGATGTGTAAAACAAGGGACTGACTGGATAATACTCAAAGACAGAAGCAACTATTGCATTCCTGACGCCCGAGAGAAGACTCCATGTCCATGTGCTGTAGCAGCATAGCGGGCCCGGGGTATTAGGAAACTGAAACGTCCGGACATAGCAAACAGCAGCTGCAAGAAAATTACATTTAATTAAAGACGTAAACAGGGAGTTATAAGCGTGCAAAGAGGTTATACGTCTTAAATACAGAGAGGGTCAAGTATCATTATAATTTATTTTTGCAAAATGAAAGTCTAGGACTAAATTGTCGATTTTACAATTTCGACTTTGCGAAATTGAACAGCAAAAATGTATTTTGAGATTGTATGAATACCATTTAGTATATTGTGTGTGCTTTTAGTCAAGGATCCTAATATCTCACCATCCAGTTTTTGGAAGTAAAGTAACAAAAAAATGCCTTAGTTCTCTTTGTTGTGTAAATATCTGACTCATTTAAATAGCTTTAGGAGTATCAGACTTGTGTTTATTGTTATTTACTGAAAAAAAAGAACCACATGGTCAAAAGTGTAAGTATTATAAAGTGTCCACCACTGTCAATGAGGGCATTCCAACATGCCCTCAAACATACCCTCTTGGTGTAAGGGGGAGTGGATAGGCTACTCACCGACTGATGTGCTGCTTCCTGAATCTGGGAGGAAATAACTGTAACCGATGTATGCCCATCTTGAGTCCCAAAATGCCTGGAACCAACTGCATGGACAAGTGTGAGCAGTCGCAGTCAAGTTGGAAATGATAAAATCATCAACAACCTGCCCACTGTACCAGTTCCGACAGAACAAGCGGGGATTGACAAAATCGTCTGTCAGGCTGTCAAGTCGCTGGACCCAGCGCCCGTATATCCCGGTATTCCCAACCATATTTCCTGGTCGGAAACGCAAGTCACTCGGTATGTCCAGGTAGACTTTGTTGCCAGATTGTCCGCAGGTGAAGCCCTGGATGACGTTGTCGTTAGGCAGGAGGTTTTTGTTCCAGTTCATACCGCAGCGCTCGTAGTTGAAGATAACATAGCCATGAGTGTAATCTGTCACAAGCACAGCTTGGAAAGAGTTGGTATCCTTATTAAAAGAGAAAAAAATACACTCAATAAAGACAATGCATTGTGAATCCCAAGTGGTTCGGATCTCGGCTTCTCATCTTTGTACGATTTGTCTTCACTCACCAAATATCCGCGAGCTTCGAACACTATGCTTTTGAATGTGTTTCTAATGCGCAAAACATACAGAAATCTCGATTACAATTACAATTGCACATGAAATGCAGACAAAAATAAACAGTGTTAACTATACAATGTGTGCATGGTTAAAAATAGATTTGAAAGTGTATTTGAGGGGGTCCAGGAACATGCCGCCGGAAAATTACAAAAAAAAATCCCCCAGTTTGCATGCCCCATCACTCCCTCTCTTTATCCCCTACTGGCCTGATTCCCCCCTCCATTGTTAGCAAATATGTAAACACAATATGTCTTATATAAACTGTAAAAGTTTCGGATTGTAAATTTGTCTCTACAGACAATTTTCACCCTTGTGTCATCACAAACGCCAAATCGGTATAATATATGCCAAGAAAAGTCCATACAATGTATAAAGTATACACCTTAATAATACTACATCAACCGATTTTTCAACCAGCCGCTCGAAATTGTCTGTTTTTGACAGAAAATGTCAACAAATAGTTACTTTATCGGGTGAGAGGGCTTCTACATAGCGCCATGTGATGACAAGAGCCCAGGCTGCAGTGAAGCTGCCATACTGGGCAGTCACGATGCCACTCAACGTAGACAACACAGTGGAACTACTGTCATCATATACCTGGGGGAAAACGAGGGATTACACTTCTTGTTGGTTGATTTAGGTTCTGTGCACAAGTATCCTTTCACTCAATTACAACGAGAGGAAGATGATACGTTAGTTAAAGATAATAAGGAAGTTTGTACACATTCAGAATACGGGGAAATCGATCAGGTTGGCGTCCCGGTACTTTCCTCACCTTCCCCTGCTGTGACCCAGGTTCGAATCCCGCCTGGGCCAGCATGTGGATTGGGGTTTCAGTACCTGCCTGACTCTGTGGGTTTTCCCAAGAATGTTCTTCTGGGAATTTCCTCCCACCTCTAAAACTGTCTTCTCGTTTTCTTCTCTCTACAGGTTTCTTCAGGCTTTCGAGCTACAGTGGCGCTTTAGAGGAATCCTTGGTTTCATTAACAGAAATTAATAATAATAATTAGTAATAATCTTTATTATATCAAGAACACACTGGTACTGCTCTCCTTTTTTATATAACATCTCTCAGTTTCATATCTAAACGAATATGGACTTTAGAAGGTTGAGAATGTTGAGAGTTTAAGATACCGATTCTGCAACATTTGTGCAACAAAAACTTCTTTTTAACCAAGCCATTTTATAACTGGGATGACAAGTCAGAGGATGAGTGCTGCTGAGCTTTGTTAATAATCTGGGTCGAGTAGCTTTACTTTGTTGATTGAAAAAAAGTACGCAGTTTGACTTTACGTAGTCCAAGATCGAAGGGTTACAAGATCGAAATGGTTACAAACCTTAATCAAACTCACCTGAAAGAAGACATCCCTTGACTGAGAAAACCTTCTGCTGTTTACGTCTGCCCAAAAGGCAGCTACCATTTTTGTTGGGCCACTGAAGAATGTTTTTGTGGGACTTGGGTAACTGCGTTTATATAGACTTTGCTCGTTGGAAAAGACAATGACGCCATTATCTGTGAACTGATAAAGCAGACGGCCCAAGATGGGTCATCAGGACCGTAAAATAATGTCAATGTTAGATTTGGACGTGGGTCCAGTTTCAAGACAATGCAAAGCACACAACAGCAAATATCAAGGAAAACTTCATAATAACATTTAGCTCCATATACATATAACCGTCAGCATAAATGTACTTATTACTAGGATTAGTTGTTGCCATTTTGCCTAACACAGATGCTACACCTTCCATCGCTCAGAGAGTACACGATTTTCCCACTCCTTAACGCTAGCGATACACGTTAATAATCGCAATTACAGCAGAACGTTAACTGAAGAAGCTTGTCCAATAAGTGATTGTTTGTTATAGCAAGTTTGGCTGGCAATACTCAGTATATATGTATCACATCCAAATTGAAGGTATTTTATAGGTTTCCATTTTAGCGCAGTTCTACTGCATTTGATTAATAAAATACCGGCCACATAAGCCAATATCTTTAACTTCGAAACAGGTGTTAAGTTCCATACAAGTTAATTTTTTCATGCTTTTTATTTGTCATACTTACATAGATTTTTTCATGCAGCTCATTGCAGAAAGGAAAGAAATGTGGTGGGCTGATGGTTCGTGAGATCCTATCTTTGCCAGAGGACAGCGATGACTGTTAGGACAAAAATGAAAGCATTTATATTACATTAAAACTATTATACAAAACTGAGAAAAAAACCCCTAAAACCAACAGTAAAACCAACTAAAAACAAACACAGTGTGAATTAATTAAGTGGACTTTAGAGTACACTCCGGCAAAAATCAATGACTCCAACAGCAGATAAACTTCAAGCAGAAAAACACTCTCCAGGTAGGAGGAACATAGGCCTATGTATAATAAAACTTGTCTCTGCTTGTCTGCTGGGTAAACAGAGTGAGGCTAGAACATGTGGCAGCTTACATAGGGGGAACTTGTGGACTAAAATAAACAAACAGGGGGAAACACTGCCAACAAAGGAAGGGGGAATCTCAACCCATTCACTGGGCGGTACAATGATTAATGATATAATATCCATACTGACAGCGTGTTTTGTAAGGTGTACAGTTAAAATCAGGTTTCAAAATGATACAAATCAAATATCAAAAAATCCGGGTTATTCTAATGAACTGATATATTACTTACTGGTTGTGTTTCCTCTGAAAGGCGACTATCTCCAACTGCAACTCCAAAGGGAACAAAATTGCCCTCTGTTTTTAAAAGAGATGAAATCATTTTAAAAATGTGACCCTTGAATCCATATTTAATGGATCAAATGCACACACCGTAGATGGCGCGTTGGGACAATTCCTAGAACGCAACACATCTCGTATACATGAGTACAATTGTTCAAGCGCGTTGGTGTGAAGTATGTACACATCTCAAATTTCAGTGGCCTGTGCAGTTTGAAATGCTCCGAATGCATCATTGAGTGGTCTGTGGAGCAAGTGGTTGATGTAGGTGAGCATGCAGCTTCTTAGTAATGGTTAAATATCACCCCAGCAATAGCCCGTTTCCACAAATCTACCCATATCTCAAAAACTTCGGTTGAATGCCAGCACGTATTGTTCCCCTGCTAAGGTTTAGGCATCACGATGAAATGTGCAAATTAGGACCAACATCACAGCCCTTCTCCGACAAAATGTGATTTAAACAGAAACAGTCATTCTCAGCGACAACAGCATATTAGTCAAAATGAAGCGATCACAAAAACAGGAAATTTCAATAAGCAGAAATAATGACCCAGCGATATTTTTGCTGAAAACCAGTCCCATATTGAACACCAGTCCCAGACTCTGATATCACATGACATGATTTTGTCTGTTGCCTGAATTTGTAACACAAATATTTTCTTTCGTTTGGAAACGTTTGTATGTACATGGAAAAACCTCGAAATTGGCTCCGATTCACCACAAAATTGGTTCCGATTGGCTGAATTTCACAAACTTGCCAATTAACGGAGAACCAACACTCGTGAAGTTCTTACCATAGACACTGAATGAGAGGCTCCTTGATGTACTGCAGATTTCAACCGTAACACCGCAGGTCACTGTGTGAGATCCAAGACCAAACGAGATGCCTCCGTTCAGAGGCACAGCATTTCCGTTCTGATCCGTACAGCTGATGGATTGGCCATCCAAGTATCTGCCTGTCACTGCAGGCCACGAAACTACGACATCATTCTGTCCAGGCAGGGTACACTGGTCAGCAACCGATGGCACCGTTATACGTGGCGTTGCTGTGGAGGCCAAGGAAGTATTGGCTGAATGTAAATCTCGAGGCTTACGAATGTTTCAAATACTCAATCAAATCCACAGGTGGAAAACTCTTCAATCAAATAAACTACAAACGGAAACTCACTAGGTGCATAACAACATGTTAAAACAATTAAAGTTGAACAAAAAAATTGACTGGGGCGAGGTTCGAACCTGTGACCTCCGGATTACCGTTCTGGCACTCTACCAACTGAGCTATTAATACACTCTTGTCACACGCTTCAATGAAGCCCTTAGTACGGCACAATTGATAGTGAGGCTGAACTGCCAAGTGAAAGGTATAATGGCAAAGACATTTCTCTGGATATCAGCAGTTTTTTCCCATCAAATAAACATTGCCGAGAGTATGGACATCGGGAAGGAATTTGACAGCATTTTATTCTATACGACAAGCGTATGTCAGAATTTTGCTAGTGGACACTACACCTTCACAACACTGGTTAAAAAAAACACAGGAAAGTTATTACGTGTTAAGTAAGCCTTCCCATGTCTTGACTGTATCCGTGAATCTTGGACTTGTTCTTACCGAATACATAGAAATCGAAGGCTCCCACTGCCGTGCAGCCAGCATTATTGGTGACAACGCAGGTGTGGATGTGTGTATGGTCCTGCAGGTACCACCAACCCCCTGTCACTTGGGGCCATGAAACCTGCGCATAAACCCACCACGGGACCGCACAACGATTGGCGACAGTAGGCAGGTTAAGAATCGGTGATTCTGTGTGGTTAGAAAGGGGAAAATATCAGAGCACATTAACAATTTTTAAGAAACATTTTGCACGCTGTTCGATGCAACACAGATTTGTACAAACCACCAAATTGATTCATTAAAGGCTACTTTTTCAAGAATCATTAACATTACAACTTATACTTATCAAGTGATAAAACTAAATCAGTGAAAATATTGTATCATTTTGGAGAAGTACCGCGATGACTGTATCATATTTTATAACTATGAATCACTGCATAACATCCAAACATTTTATTAAATCAACACGCTTTTCGCTGGTACCCACTTAACCAAGAGCATAGAAAATCAAAAATGTTCAACCGGTCAACAAAAGTGTGAACAAATACTTGACAATGATAAAGATTACAAATGGACGACACAGAAGAATGAACAACTTGGATACATGTTAAATTTACACAGCACGAGTGGCTATCGCTACAACAGCTCTGAGACACAAAATAGGATTAACCGATTTGCATTTGATTACGCACAAACCGGAAGATTCTTCAAAAATGAATGTGACTGAGCACAGGTGTTTGGTGCCGACAGTGCGTTAAGTTTCCTTGATCTTCTATTTCATTGTTGAAGGGGTACTTTCATATAGAGGGTTGAAAAGATGGGACAATGTTACCAGACGGAGCTGTAACCCTCATAATAGTAATGTGTATAAAGCGCACATATCCACCTGTATTGGTGCTCAAGGCGCTACGTCATTATTACCCCTGCTCATTGGGCCACTAAAATATTCCAAAGACCATCCCAGCTCCCTCAGGAGCTCACAAGACCATCCCAGCTGCCTCAGGAGCATACAGCTCAAAGTTCCCATTTTGACGCACGGCAGCTAAAATCAAGTAGAATATATCTCTGCCCTCACAGGTGCCCATTTACTCATGGATGGAGAAAATCAATGTGCGAGAAAAGCGCCTTGCCCAACGGCACACACACCAAATCCCCAGGCTGGACTCGAACCCACTCCACACAAAACTTGAATGTGATTTCTTACTTACGTCGGACAGTGAACGAGAAGCTTTTCGAATCTTCACAACCATTGATGGTGACCTGACAGGTCACGGTGTGAAAACCGACAGAAAAGGCGATACCGCCACTGGGAGGCACTGCAACTCCTCCTTCACTGCATGAGATGGCTTGTCCACCCAGGTTGGTGTCAGATACTGCAGGCCAGCTCACAGTGGCATTAGCTACGCCGAAATCAGTGCACTGGTCGTCCACATTGGGCACTGTTAGCGATGGAGATGCTGCGGACAAAAAAACCCCAAATACTCGTAATGCAGATCTGGATGGAGTTTAATCCATTAGCTAGATTGTTCCATCCCAAAACTGTCTTGGCTGTTACTTCCTGTACCGCCCAACACTGCATGATTCTGTGGACTCATCTGGGAATAAATACAATGTAACATAGTGTAGTACAGGTACTTATGGTTAACTCCGCTGTGAGTTTTGTGGCTACAACTGAATGGCATGCTAGGTTGTGGAGTAGGGTTCCTTCAAAGGCTTTCCGGTCTAGTTGGACCAACAGTTTTCAGTTGAGGACAATTTTTTTTTCTACAAGGTTTCGCCTCGCCTGCTTCCATGGGTAGGCGGCTTTGCTGCCTGCCGCACGCTTTGCTTGGATTGAAGAGCAAGGATGAGGCACCCCTATTCCCAACAGACTAAGATGAGGACGGACATGTAAGTCTCACCTGCAACACCAACAGCAAAGCTTTTTGATGCCATGCAACCACCGTTATTTGTCACTGTGCAGGTTACGGTGTGACTTCCTACCGGGAAGGTACCTCCAACCAGAAACACAGGCAATGCACCTGATGTACACTGAATGGTTTGACTATCGGTGTTGGTGGCAGTTACCGAACTCCATGTCACGGTAGCTGTCGCCTGATCGGTGCAGAGGACAGGGCCCACGGGCACTGAAATTGATGGTGACGCTATTGGGAGAAAAAAAAATACCAAAAGAGGTGAGATGTGATCTTCTTATATCCCTAAAGGCAGCGGTAGTTTTTGTGAGTTTTACAGTTTAAGTTGATTTAACAGATGTCAGAGTGAGTCTGGTTATTAAGATGTCAATCAGCACACTGTTATAAATCATTTTATCAACAGTGTATGATAATATGCTTTATACTCAGCGAGTTCATGTTTGTTTGTATATGAATTCATTTTGCTCGTTGCCCTAGTTTCATATACATACAAAAACGCATGCCAGCGATTTGGCGTGTTGCCATGTCTTTGACCTAATTAACTGGATCACCTCACTCAGTTCCCCAGCCTTGCACAGCTGCACTCCATAACCATAATTTGGTATGCCAGTGAGAGTTTCAATATGCAAATGTAAAGACCAACTTTGAACCAAAAACTTTGTTTTGTCTTATGTTGCTTAGTGAAGTGCTGGCCCGAGTTGGGCTGTAAGTGGGCTGTGCTCACTTTTGTCACAGTCATTGAGACAGCATGATCAGATTTCATTTTGTGCATTACATTTTTCCCTCCACCATCCCCTTAACCCACCATGTCTTGTTTGCTCTTTTACTATCTAAAATAATTACGAACGATTGGCAAGTTTTTGTCGGGTTCAGGCAGCCATTTCCCCCTTTCTCTTGGTTAAGAGACATTTTTTTCACTTATAATTCTTGTTGATGTTCTTAATATTGTACAGTTGCAATAGCGCTCGTAAGTCTCCTGGGGCTAGGTTTCTGACTGAAGTTTATATCAGTGGAAATGCAACTTAAATGTAACGTTTATGTCTTATTGATGGACATGGATATGGCCTACAACCACTTGTTTTGGTTTACAGGTACATGCATGTAACTTGTAGGTACGGCTCTGTACCCAGCTATATCTTGGGTCTGTGCACTCTGTGGTGCCAGTGGTTAGTGTATTTTGATCACTCATAAGTGTTCAAAATCATGGGAGTGTGTCCCATGTACAAATTGATGTCACCAGTTTGCCCAATCATCGGTATCCGGCACAGTTATGAATATGGAATAATTGGAATGAATGAAAAGTTTCAAGTGACTGTAGCATAGATTCAAACCTGTGAGTCTGAGTATAATGCCATCATAACTGAGGCATTTAATACCATAATCAAACGGTCAGCTCTTAACGGAACTGTTTTATTAATGATCCCAGGATGTCTATCAGTGTTCAGTTCTGATAAACATTAAAAACAGGGTTTCCACATTTGCTTCAGATTGAATATCCTGTCAGAGGCAAAACCTTCCATGGACTATGCATGAACAAAAATATACTGCAACTACAAAATATAATGTCTGATACCTGATACAACAAATGTGAAGCTTTTTGAGCCTGGGCATCCATCGGAATTGGTAACGCTGCACGTGATTGTGTGCGATCCTGCTCCAAAAATTCCACCAGTAGTCGTCACGCCAGTTCCGTCTCCAGAATCAGTACAAGTGAAGCTTGCACCCACAGCATCGGTGGCAGTCACAGCGGCCCAAGTCACAGTTATTGTAGCAGAGCCTTCATCGGTACACTGCGGACCCACCGTGGGCACAGTCAGAGATGGGGAAGCTGTGTCATACACAATATCAAATGGCTAATATCAAATAACTTTCAAAAATTAATACATGTAAGGTTGAAAGAAAAGACTTTATAAGGATTTCCTTATGGCATGTGGCCTCTGTGGCCTCTGGAATGTTGCACCGGTGTTCTACCAACTGAACTACCAAGCCCTATGATGACAGTCTTCCAAGTTGTCAATGTCTTTGTTCAAGTGGCACCGGTCAGAAGTCATCAATCTACAGGGTGAGTAAAAAAAACAACGAAACCCAAATGGCGGGACCAATTTTTGAATGAAGTCTTGTCTGTGGCACTTTCAAAATCTAGGATATAAAAGGCTAGTCATTAAGCTTGCTTTTAGTACCATAATAAATCAGCTAATCTTAAAACCCATCTGTTCACTGCAAATTATATATAATGTTAGTGTTTTCTCTGTTAATTGTTCAGCGCATTGGGACCCCGTGTAAAATGCGCTTGATAAGAATGGTTTATCATTATTAGGTGTTGGGCCTCAGCCCAACACCTATTGTTATTGTAAGAATTGTTTGATATGAATAAGTGTTCTTTCAGCAAAACCAAAACAATTCTCATAGAGATGCATGTGAAATGTTTTCCTTTTGCTGAAATAACACTTCTCTTTTTTGTGATCCATGGAAAGAACTTTAGAACGGCGTTTGTGTTCAAATGTCCGTAACTTGAAAGGTACATGAGTGATTTGAATGATTCTTGTACTAAAAGAAAGCTCTTTGATTGGGATTTTATATCCTAGTTTTGAAAAGTGCTGCAGGCAAAACGTCATTACTACTGAGCTGGCACACAACCAACTAAGCTTTCATACGGTGGCAGCATCCGAATGTCTTGGATAATAATGCTGCCAAATTTTGTGACAGATGATATACGGGATCAAGTTTTACACACAATGTGGCAGACTTAATGGTTCCAGACATGTTCAATACCTGCTACAGCAAACGTGAAGCTAATGGAGCCTGTACAACTACAAGAATTAGTTACAGTGCACGTGACTGTGTGCGATCCTACTCCAAAGGTTCCACCAGTGGTTGTCACACCGGCTCCATCTCCAGAATCACTGCATGAAGTGCTTCCACCCGCAGCATTGGTGGCAGTTACGACAGGCCAAGTTACAGAGGCTGTAGATGCACCAACATCTGCACACTTGGAACTCACCGTTGGCACATGCACAATTGGTGTCGCTTCGTAAAGAACAATGGATCAGTATCAATCAATTTCAAAGTTGACAACAATAAGACAACACGCCACTAGACCATGCTTATTGAAATAAGTTGGAAATTGCAATAGCTACGTTTGAGTTACAGGCCCTCAAACATATCTTGCACAAAGGACATCCACAGTTTTCTGCCCATTTAATGTCCACGTTTTGAGTGTCAAATTCTTTGGTATGGCAAGATGAAGAGCTCATTATTCTCTTTCAATTGCATAAAATGAAAGAGTGAAAAGATGTCTTCGGTCTTTACTGCTTGGGATCCGATCACATCTATTCATCAAATTAACTTGAAAGCCACTGTTGCCAAATTCCAAACCAAATGAATTAGAGGTTAAGACTTTGGTCAAGTCCATGTCTTTCTCTCTTAGTATACCGAAATTTGAGGTGTTAAAGTAGGAATCAATTAATAAGTTTGGACATACATCTGAAAGTATTCACATCTCATGAATTGACCAATTTCCATCTCATGAATTGCAGGTACGCAAGAAAAATATATTAAACAAAAATACACTGACTCGAATTTGAGTCAAAGCTCTTGTTCAAATAATTTGGCATTTTCTGTAAACAGTTTTGTTGAAATTATCAGATTTCTCCTAATAATTAGTCAGTCTATTTTTGTCATGCTCTATTCACCCACGAAATCAGACAAAACTTTAGAGATAGACTAACGTAACATATATCTTTGAACTCTGTGATTTGTGCTGATTATTTCTAGTTCTATGACGAATCTTGTGCATTTCTGTGATTTTGCAAAACCGATGAAACCTCAGTCAAAGTGTGTCCTTATATACTGTGTATCATTATATTTTCTGGTACTTTTTTATATTTATATTTTTATATCCTTTTCATTTAACAGTTTACCTTCATTATTTTGTATGTACCACTTTTAGCGCGGAGGTGCAGATGACCTCCCGGGCAACCTACTTTATTTTTAAGCAAAGTTTTAAAGTTATATAAGATTTTATGTAGAATGTGGTAACATGTTGCTTGGTTTAATTAAATCAGCTTATCTAGACGAGGACGTCAAGGCTGTCAGGAGGCTTTGTGGCGCGACAAGGGTTACCTGTTTCAGAAATAGAACATTCCAAAATAGAATAGTCCAAAAAACAGTAATAGGCTGGTACCCAAAAGCATAGCTAGGCAGCCGCATGCAGCTTGCGTGCATCGGAAGTCTTATTCCAAGAAGCTGGGCCAGCTTGTAATCACTCGGGAGTTCCAGAGAGCGAGCCGTGGTGAGTAGACGTACTTTTGTTATGACTTCATGCTTACCCTACGATTGAGTGTGAGGGGCTATACTTTTGTACATTGGGAACCCCCGCCAGAGGGGCCTTGATTCTTGTACTGGTTTGTGCGAGCGGGTATTTTGGTTGACAGGTTGAGTGAGAGCTTGGCTGGTTATAGCACTCTTGTGGTGCTGCCCTCTCATTAATCCTTGTCGATCCCCACACTGTAGTGATATTGATGACTACCTGAGTACCCCACAGATTGCCTTTGTACGAGGTGGTGTGTGACATCTGATTAGGTGGTTTGTTATCGTTGAACTTTCTTTGCCCCTTATCTTGGGTATAGTCTTAAGTGCAGGGAATATTGTGTCTACTTCGGTGTCGTATTGCCAAAGCTGGCTGAAGGAAAATAGGGAACCTCTTGTGTATTTCATTATATTGGAGGGGCAAGTTATTTATTCTTGATTGTGTATCTTATATTTGATTCTGTATTCTTTATTGGTGCATAGCTTTGGAGTGAATAAGTTAAGAAGGACATCGAACAGTTGAGGTGTTAATTAATTATTATTCTCTCTTTTTCTGAAGACTTGGTGTTCTTGGCCCATTAATCATGTCTCCCCATTAATTTGGAGTGTACATTCGACCAGTCTGGGTTGATGTTGAAATAAGCACAAGTTTCAAGAGTTTATCACACGTGGCTGTGTTGTGAACACTGATATCTTAATCCTGCAGTACGTAATTGTATTCAGTCACATATAGTTTCCAAAGCACTCCAATAATTCAACGTCTGTCTCTGCATATTCACATTCAACATTCGACAGCTTTGACCTAAATGGAGTGAAACTTTTTGTTTTCCCTGATTTCGTCGACATTTTTGGTAAGAATATTGTTTCTGATCTTTAAATCAGTAGATGAAATGCACGTCAATCATGATCACTGGACAGCATACATTTCATCCACACATGCCCATAGAAGTAGTGTCCAGGTCAGATAAATCAATAAACGTTAAGGGAAAAAAAAAACGAGATTAGAGGTTTAAATAATTGATGTATCTAAAATTCCATGTCAAGCAATTACACCAACATACACTCATAACTGCTGCTATTGGAAAACTACATGTACCTTTGACAACTCACACCTAACAAAATGACGAATTTACAACATATAAAATAGCACGTGAATAAATCTCTTACCGCATTGGCAGGTAGTTGTCGCAGTGGTGGTTGGTTCCGTAGTCATTGTGGTGGTTCGTTCTTTGGTCACTGTGGTGGTTGGTTCTGTAGTCCCTGAAGTAGTTGGTTCTGTAGTCCCTGAAGTAGTTGGTTCTGTAGTCACTGCGGTGGTCGATTCGGTAGTCACTGCGGTGGTCGGTTCTGTAGTCAATGTGGTGGTTGGTTCTGAAGTCCCCGAGGTGGTTGGTTTTGTAGTCACTGCGGTGGTCGATTCGGTAGTCACCGTGGTGGTTGGTTCTGTAGACAATGTGATGGTTGGTTCTGAAGTCAATGAAGTGGTCGATTCGGTAGTCAGTGCAGTGGTCGGTTCTGTAGTCAATGTGGTGGTTGGTTCTGAAGTCACTGTGGTGGTTGGTTCTATAGTCACTGCGGTGGTCGATTCGGTAGTCACTGCGGTGGTCGGTTCTGTAGTCAATGTGGTGGTTGGTTCTGAAGTCACTGTCGTGGTTGGTTCTGTAGTCACTACGGTGGTCGATTCGGTAGTTACTGCGGTGGTCGGTTCTATAGTCAATGTGGTGGTTGGTTCTGAAGTCACTGTGGTGGTTGGTTCTGTAGTCACTACGGTGGTCGATTCGGTAGTTACTGCGGTGGTCGGTTCTATAGTCAATGTGGTGGTTGGTTCTGTGGTCAATGTGGTGGTTGGTTCTAAAGTTACTGTGGTGGTTGGTTCTGTAGTCAATGGTGTAGTTGATTCTGAAGTCACTGTGGTGGTTGGTTCTGTAGTCACTGCGGTGGTCGATTCGGTAGTCACTGCGGTGGTCGGTTCTATAGTCAATGTGGTGGTTGGTTCTGAAGTCACTGTGGTGGTTGGTTCTGTAGTCACTACGGTGGTCGATTTGGTAGTCACTGCGGTGGTCGGTTCTGTAGTCAATGTGGTGGTTGGTTCTGAAGTCACTGTGGTGGTTGGTTCTGTAGTCACTGCGGTGGTCGATTCGGTAGTCACTGCGGTGGTCGGTTCTGTAGTCAATGTGGTGGTTGGTTCTGAAGTCACGGTGGTGGTTGGTTCTGTAGTCACTGCGGTGGTCGATTCTGTGGTCAATGTGGTGGTTGGTTCTGTGGTCAATGTGGTGGTTGGTTCTGAAGTTACTGTGGTGGTTGGTTCTGTAGTCACTGTGGTGGTTGGTTCTGTAGTCACTGCGGTGGTCGGTTCTGTGGTCAATGTGGTGGTTGGTTCTGAAGTTACTGTGGTGGTTGGTTCTGTAGTCACTGCGGTTGTCGGTTCTGTAGTCACTGCGGTTGTCGGTTCGGTAGTCACTGTGGTGGTTGGTTCTGAAGTCACTGTGGTGGTTGGTTCTGTAGTCACTACGGTGGTCGATTCAGTAGTCACTGCGGTGGTCGGTTCTGTAGTCAATGTGGTGGTTGGTTCTGTAGTCGCTGTGGTGGTTGGTTCTGTAGTCACTACGGTAGTCGATTCGGTAGTCACTGCGGTGGTCGGTTCTGTAGTCAATGTGGTGGTTGGTTCTGAAGTCACTGTGGTGGTTGGTTCTGTAGTCACTGCGGTGGTCGATTCGGTAGTCACTGCGGTGGTCGGTTCTGTGGTCAATGTGGTGGTTGGTTCTGAAGTTACTGTGGTGGTTGGTTCTGTAGTCACTGTGGTGGTTGGTTCTGTAGTCACTGCGGTTGTCGGTTCGGTAGTCACTGTGGTGGTTGGTTCTGAAGTCACTGTGGTGGTTGGTTCTGTAGTCACTACGGTGGTCGATTCGGTAGTCACTGCGGTGGTCGGTTCTGTAGTCAATGTGGTGGTTGGTTCTGAAGTCTCTGTGGTGGTTGGTTCTGTAGTCACTACGGTGGTCGATTCGGTAGTCACTGCGGTGGTCGGTTGAGTGGTCAATGTGGTGGTTGGTTCTGAAGTTACTGTGGTGGTTGGTTCTGTAGTCACTGCAGTTGTCGGTTCGGTAGTCAATGTGGTGGTCGGTTCTGTGGTCAATGTGGTGGTTGGTTCTGAAGTTACTGTGGTGGTTGGTTCTGTAGTCAATGTGGTGGTTGGTTCTGTAGTCGCTGTGGTGGTTGGTTCTGTAGTCACTACGGTAGTCGATTCGGTAGTCACTGCGGTGGTCGGTTCTGTAGTCAATGTGGTGGTTGGTTCTGAAGTCACTGTGGTGGTTGGTTCTGTAGTCACTGCGGTGGTCGATTCGGTAGTCACTGCGGTGGTCGGTTCTGTGGTCAATGTGGTGGTCGGTTCTGAAGTTACTGTGGTGGTTGGTTCTGTAGTCACTGTGGTGGTTGGTTCTGTAGTCACTGCGGTGGTCGGTTCGGTAGTCACTGTGGTGGTTGGTTCTGAAGTCACTGTGGTGGTTGGTTCTGTAGTCACTACGGTGGTCGATTCGGTAGTCACTGCGGTGGTCGGTTCTGTAGTCAATGTGGTGGTTGGTTCTGTAGTCACTACGGTGGTCGATTCGGTAGTCACTGCGGTGGTCGGTTCTGTAGTCAATGTGGTGGTTGGTTCTGAAGTCTCTGTGGTGGTTGGTTCTGTAGTCACTACGGTGGTCGATTCGGTAGTCACTGCGATGGTCGGTTGAGTGGTCAATGTGGTGGTTGGTTCTGAAGTTACTGTGGTGGTTGGTTCGGTAGTCACTGCAGTTGTCGGTTCGGTAGTCAATGTGGTGGTTGGTTCTGAAGTCACTGTGGTGGTTGGTTCTGTAGTCACTGCAGTGGTCGATTCGGTAGTCACTGCGGTGGTCGGTTCTGTAGTCACTGTGGTGGTTGGTTCTGAAGTCACTGTGGTGGTTGGTTCTGAAGTCACTACGGTGGTCGATTCGGTAGTCACTGCGGTGGTCGTTTCTGTGGTCAATGTGGTGGTTGGTTCTGAAGTTACCGTGGTGGTTGGTTCTGTAGTCACTGCGGTTGTCGGTTCGGTAGTCACTGCGGTGGTTGGTTCTGAAGTCACTGTGGTGGTTGGTTCTGTAGTCGCTGTGGTGGTTTGTTCTGTAGTCACTGTGGTGGTTGGTTCTGTAGTCCCTAAGGTGGTTGGTTCTGTAGTGCCTGTGGTGGTTGGTTCTGTAGTCACTGTGGTGGTTGGTTCTGTAGTCACTTTTGTGGTTGGTATTGTAGTCACTGTGATGTTTGGTTCCGTAGTAGAATTGATAGAAGAAAAAAAATAAAGTACGAAATATTAATGTACAGTGTGACATTGCCTTAATCATGATAAATTTGTTTATAACACACGTTAGTGAACCCGTGAAAGAATACATTTTCCAGTAAGTACAATATCTTGAAAACATGATTTTGTTGATGTAAAGACCTTGGAGGAAAATTCTGATTGAACCCTATAAAAACTCGTTATGATTGACAGGCCATGATAGCCATCAAAGGCATCCCAGTTAGGAAAGTGAAAATGAAAGTACTACTCATGCAAAGGCAGGACAGCAGACGGCGTGTTAGTGTTTGATTAGTGGCTCTTTACTCACATGAGGACACAAGTAAGGGACATGTTATAATGGTTGGTTGGTTGCTCTTTACTCACGCGAGGACAAAAGCCAAGAGAACATGTTAGTGTTTGACGAGTGGCTCTTAACCCCCTCTAATGAGTCATGAAAACGGACAATTCCGCATGGAGCAATTCGTGGGCAAAGGAGATCAGCTCCATTCAGAATCAAGACTTTGCAGCACAGACTTCAACAATTTTTTCCCACTTACCTCCCTTTTGTCTTATTAAAAAAAAATAATCACACAAATGATGTAATAGTTTTGGCTCTTTCATTTAACTTTTTAATGTTGAATTCAGTGTTTATGAGGATTCTCTTTTGTTTCTCAGTTAGAACATAGATTCTTGTCAATGTGGTTTGGCCTTGTAGAATTTCTTAATTCAATTTGGTCCGGCCTTGTAGCCTTACAATAAATGGTTTTCCATTATTCTACCCAAAAACAGTCTGACCATTGTCTCCTTTTTTTTTGTCTGATTAATTAAAAGCACAGCTTCAATGGACTAATTATATACGTGATTCACATGGATGAGTTGTGCATGCTACTTTAACTTCTCTGTGGAATTCTTTCGCTGGGCCAGAGAAATCTTGGATGCCCTAAAAAGCGCTATAACGACTGCATCAAAGCAAATTAATCTATACCAAATACGGAATAGCCCAAAAGGAGCTTGAACTTCAGGTCGTCAGAGCCAGGACGCGGAGGATGGTTGCACCCATGCAAGAATCATCCCACAGGAAACTTTACTGGTCCCCTTTGCTCTCGTTTGTGGTTCACTCATTGTACTCCTGAGCCACACCCCACCTAAACTGAGACCGCCCAACCCACCATCGTCACTAGAGATGGGCCACTCCAAGTTGAACTTTTTAATCAATGTCACTTAAATTCGTGAAGTACGTAGTTGAGCCGAAAGCAGCCTGAATGATGTTTGCTATCCGGAACTAGGAAAACGACTGTATAGATGCTCTCTACCACTGCAAGTTCGCCCCTACATTAGCTTGCATGCAGTTTCCAATAACATATTGGTGTGTAAGTTTCATAATGTTATTCAGCGTATTGTTTTGTATATCCGTCTCTCTGAATATGCCCGTGTCTTTTAAATGGCTTTCGGGCATTCCTATGAAAGAAACTTGGAATTGTTGTTTATTTTGTGGGTGTACGGCTGCCGATGCATGGCATTGCTTCCTTAGGCCGAATAATAAAAAAATGTTTTTCGTCCTGGTTTTCGAAAAAAAGGAGGAAGAGGGTCTTTTTATTTATACTTTAAAAAAAAAAATTTTTCAAGATGGCCGCCATTTTAAAACTGTGTTGGCCTGGGAAAATCTAGGGGTGGCGGAGTGCCCCCCCCCCCCCCGCCCCCTCTCCGGTTCCGTCGCCCCTGCCAGGTGAACATACCAATGCAGAAAACCACAAAATGGCCACGAATTACTATTTGCTAATAATTAGCAGATCGTGTGCGACAGGCTAATCATGCCCTTGTGTGTCCTCGCATTAGAAAGGACATGTATTGCCTGCTCGCAACATTCAATTTGTGCCTCCTCTCAAGATGGAAAGTTTCTCTCTAAAAACTAGGTATAAGAAACACACAGAGCAAGATTGACAACGTATTCATAATTTGTTCCTCGTCATATAGGTTTATAGCGAAATGAACGGGACCATATTCTTTTCCTCCATTTTTACACCGACGGAAAGTGCCCCTTTTTATAAGCAAGTGCCCCTTTTTGGTGCCCCCCCCGAGTTTTAAAAGCGTTCCACCGCCCCTGTCACCTGGCTTGTATGTATTTTATTCAATTGAATTGAATGTTAAATTTAATCAGTCCAATATATTTGTGCTGTGTGGTTCCGATATGAACAACATACACGCTTTAAAAATTCAACACATATTGTAACATGAAATGATCACTAACCCATCCCATCTATGGTTGTTGGTTCCAGAATGGTGGTTGGTTCCGGAGTGGTGGTTGGTTCCGGAGTGGTGGTTGGTTCCGGAGTGGTGGTTGGTTCCAGAGTGGTGGTTGGTTCCGGAGTGGTGGCTGATTCTGGAGTGGTAGTTGGTCCTGAATTGGTGGTTGTTTCACGACTGGTGGTTAGTTCAGGAACGGTCGTTGAATTAGGAGTGGTTTTGATCAGTCCTGGGAACAAAAATGAAAGAAGCCTCACATTTGAATGCATTCTAGTAGATTCCATAAATGTCATTCTTTATCTACCCTCAGTGTTGATACGTAGATAGTGACAGGAAGATTTTTTTAAAGGTTTTTCCGACCGTTTTGTGCGTTTTGAAGTTTGAAAAAAAAATCACGTTGTTAAGAGGTGTCATCGTGCTAAAACGGCGCATCATTTGGTAAACAAACGAGTTGACGGTTGTTGAGTGCGGCATTTTATACTTTACATCAAAATGTAGAAATGAGAGAACGAAGTACATGTAAATTCGATGTAAACGAGGTATTATTTTTTTCAGCTTACAAAATAGGCTTATACTCATGATTTTATGTTTAAAATATCGCTTTCTGCAAAATTCGTCAACATTTTTACGTAGGGACGGGCGTGTCAAAATTGACCATTTTTTCGATTTCGAATTTTTTCACTATTTTGCTTTACAACATAGTACTTGATTAATCATTAATTACATTTGCATTTTGCGTTTTCACGAAGAGACGCGAACATATGCCTGCCCCTTGAACACGTACAAAACATATTGCACGGAAAAGCGTAAAAGTAGGTCAACTGAGATTTTCGTTTTTACGAATGGGACGGGCATCTTTGTTACATTATCAGCTGTGCGCGTAAACACGCGCGCCGCTTCCCTATGGAAAAGCAAATTTAACACACGAAGGGCGTAAATGTGGAAAACTGCGATTTTCGTTTTTACGAAGGGATGGGCATCTTTACTAATTAATTTTGGATAAATAACCACTGTGTTAATTCTAATTACTGGATTAAAAGTTTACCTATCAAAGAATTATGGGAAGGTTTCCTTATTGTATAATGTCGTTGCAAAGTAGTAGTTTTTGCAATTTTGAAAAAGGAGAAACTTCTCTTGCGATGATCTCAAAAACGGTTTTTCTTCAAAATCCCCATGCCAGTCCCTTCGTGAAAACGGTGACGAATTGTTTGAATAGCCATGGTGTTTTTTAATCGCAGAAATCTGATACCAACTGGTCCATTAAAACAACTGACCGTATAAAGCCTGAATGCCGGAGATGTCGTCTTGGTGAAGACTGAAGTTTGGATCATACCCATTATAGAAAGGGTACATCACTGCATCCGTAATGTTGGTGTGTCTCAGACCCAGGTTATGGCCAAACTCGTGCACTGCTACCTGGAACAGGTTAATGCCTGTATCAGGGAGAGACCGATGTTAATGTAACTATTTTCAATGGACTTTTTGCGGTCGGAAGACCGGGTTATCAGATGGGATCTGTGGGTACCAAAAGAAGTTGTGGAGACACTAAAAAATCCCAAGGTCCAAATAAACTTTAAGACAACTTAGGTACAACATTTGTTATTTTTGGTTCTCAATGTCTTCAAAGGAAGATCCAGAACACATAATTTTTTTTGGGGGGGGGGGCCAAAAAAAATGAATCAAACATTAACGGCGTGGGGTCCGGGGCCTACTGTGGGCCGCGGACAATTTTTGAAATCTAGATGCTCATTGGTGCGATCTGAGGCAAATTCTGACCACTTTAATCAATTGTTTTTGGCAAAAGATTGTGGTGTACGCAGTGGCTACTTTTTTTTGCGACGTCGTCTTAAAAAAAATTGGGTTCGCATTTGGGGGGCCATGACCCCCGTTGGCGCCCCCCCCCCCCCCACGGATCCGTCGTTGAATGTCTTTGCCCGAGGGAGGGGTGTCACATCCCGTTCGCCTGTGTAACCTGGCAGGGTATCCATTGGTTTTTCAAGTACTTTAACACTTTTATCATATAAATGCCATTGAGAGATATGGAATTGAGATCGGCGTAGAAATATCATTCACTTAAATGCTTCGGTCATTCCGTTTCATTAACGGCCCAAGTGGAAACGTTTGGTATTAATTCAATTTTTTAAATGACTGAGCAAATTTTATCAAATAATTGCCAATCTTGTTTTCTTTATTCATTTAGACAAATTTCCCGAAACTTGGACGAATCGGAATGTTAGATTCGCAAATTATTATTTCCCCCAGCCCCCCCCCCCCCGGAAAACGAAAAAACAAGGAAAAATGAAAATAAAAAGAAGAAAAAAGAAACAGAAATGCGAAGCCATATTGCTGTTAATTTGATGGGGGGTAGGGCAAATGCTCCCCTGCTCACACTCGGAAAATGATAAATTGAGAATATAATGAAAAAGTTCAGGAATTTTGGGGAAAATTTGCTTTGCCTCCCCCCCCGGAAAAAAATCTGGGCGACGCCCATGACTGGATCAAATATGAAATCTATTAGTGTAAAATCGAAATCTGCATTAAGAATGGAGCCCAACGACGTTTTCGAACGTAATTTAAGAATTGTCCGTTGAATCTGAATATCACACGTGTGAAAGTAACTGGGAAAATCTATATCATATCAGTAATAAAAGTATTTCGTTCAAAACGGTGCATTTGAGCGCGAAAAGGAAAACGTAAAATAAAAGCATTGAGCCATTCATTCGGTTCAGAACATGCATGCATGCAAAGAAGGTTTTTATATGAGAATTTCGATTGAAAACATTCTCAGCAGGTTACCAGAGTAAGAATTGATGGTCCAGGTCTCATTTTCATCGAAATGCGCACCGCCATGTACCGGATAAAAGGCATGAGCAAGAACACCGGATGGCCCGTCAAACGGATAGCCATCACCATGGTCCCCACTGAAGAAGTTGATTATGATGTCGGAAGGTGTGTCTCCAAAAACTTCGGTAAACGTCAGGCACGTCACGGCAGACCAAACCTTAGAGGTAAAAATGACAGCAAATTGTCAGAAAGTACACAGATGTTAAAAGAAGAACAAAGGGCAAACCCGTTTTTGGACCTCAAATGTTTTTTTTATATCTTTATTTATTTGTTATTATTTTGTTTTGAGTGGAAAGAGAGTCAAGACCCATATAAGGCATGTTAAACAAATGCTTACAAAGATGTTACTTTTGGGTAGTTCTTGTTGTAGGTCTTTTGCAAACAAAATTGTTTGCTTTTGTACCTATTTTTCACTGCAAATATAAACATTTAATCGGAAAATTTGGCTGGTCACTTGTACTTACTTGAAGGGCACTGGCTAAAGTGTTTTCGACATCTGATTGGTTGGGTATATCGGGTGTCACAGAGTCGATGCGAAAGGTCAAGTCCGTGTTGGACCATTTTCTGTGATACAGCACGTAGCGTTTCTTCCTCTTTGCGTCCATCATGTCATCGTCATTGACGTCTGGCAAACCACATCGAGGCATGTTCATCAACGCCTTCGTCGCTTCATCAAACTCACCTGTCGTATAAAACAAAAAGAGGATGTACTCTCAAAACTCGTTTAACCGTAACCCTGGGAGCAGCTTAGCAACAAAAAAATCACACGCCAGTGGCCACGTGGAGAATGTTATCACCACATGTGTTTCTAGGTCAATAACCCCCGCATGCCTCTACATGCACAAGATATAGGTCATTTACATCGTCAGGGATTGCTTACAACTTGTCTAAGCTCTGGGCGGCACGAGGGGTTGACACAAAGAGATCGGCGGCACAAAGCGTTTGGCCATCATTTTCTCCAATTACTGCACAAAGCCATGAGCCGCCATCTTGGCTTCTGTCTTTCAACACTCCTGTCTTTCAAGCTCGGCCTGATTGGCCCATTGAAAAAAAAATGCTCATATTTGGAAAATGTGGAGAATTGTATCACCGCTTGTCGGCCGGGCTATTTTGACCATCTCTCAGCCGGGGGGGGGGGGGCGGATTCCGTCCCCCGCCCCAAGATCTCGGCCATCGAGTGACAAAAAACTTGAAACTCAGTACATGCATAAAGCAACTCTTCCTAAACATACCCAAGAAATTTCATGACCAAAGGGTTTTGGAATTATGGCTAATTAATTATTCATATGTACGAATGGCAATTCTGCTCTGTGTACACGACGTATATGCGAAAGTTCAGTTTTCACGGCGCGTTCGGAAAACGAATGACACTTGATGTGAGTTCCACCAATCAAATGACAAGTATCTGTATGTCGATTATATAACATGCGTTATAGCAGTACAAAACTTGCATTTGAAGTTGATGCAGTTGCCTCGATGATTTTTGGGCATTGTTTTAAGAACTTACAATGTTACTTTGCATTATTGTCAATGATTTGACTTTTAAACCTTTGCTTTGAACAAGTTGAAAAAAAGTAGAGGATGTGATACAATTTTGAGAATTTTGTTTGTTCTTAAAGCTTTATCCTCCAATCGAATGACAAAGATCTTTTTGGATGTTATATAAAACAAAAAATGAATGTTTTGCATTCGTGCAATCGTGAGAATATTTTCTTTTGTTGAAAGATTGAATGTTCCATTCACCTGTCAATATAAACGAATGCTTTAAATGCAATTTAGGAACCTAATTCGTGGCCGACCACATTAAAACCGCATTCTGAATGAACAAAAGTTATACTACTCGTTGAACTCACCGGTTTCTGGAATATTGGCCATATTCTGGAATTTGCAGATGCCCTCCGTAATCTCTTCTTCGGTCATGTTAGTCCCCTCGGCGGTCGATTGTAAATATCTATACTTCAACAAATACATCTAGAAAAGAATCATGATTTGCATAATGATAAATTACATTCATCCATTGTTGCGATTTCTGAACGCACTGACCCCAAATAATTGAAAAACACAGGTAAAATTTGACGTCATTCAACCGGTCGTGTCCGAAACGGGTTCTGGTGCGTAGCTCAAAGGCTGAGCTTTATTAAGGGCCTACACTAAAAAGCCAAAGTAGCCATGGGTACTACGTGCTTGGATAATAATAAAAAAAAAAAAAAAAACTAGACTTATGTTTCTGGACAAAAAAAGGGCTGTCTCGGCGACTTTTTTGTGACATGTGACATGTAAAGTTTCAAGTATAAGTTCCATTGAAGTGCCATGAAGTTGATTTTCATCTATAAGACATCCCGGTCTAGGTACATACCAACTTTCAACCCAATCGGACCAGTAGCTCTGGAGATATAGCCCAATTTGTCAGATCTAGCCGAATTCTGCTAGAAAATGGTCACAACAGCAAAATCGCATACAATGTGACGTCACGTGACTCACGATGACGTCACAATAATGTAAATGCTAGGCACACATCTTCAGATGCTGGTCTAAGTGTGTGCCGAGTATGAAGGCAATCGGATTGATTTTAGTGCCCAAAGTGCCTTGGACAAAAAAAAAAAAGGGGAAAAATGCTATGGGCAAAATGACTAAAAAAGAAAAAAAAACAGCCAATAATAATTATATGGTGCTACACCAAAGGTCTCAAAGTGCTTCATACTTATTACGTATTTTAAGAAGAGGTTCGAGCTAAAACTGTTGTCAACCATACTCAGACTAACTTTACTCGAAAGCAGGATGGTAGGACTACGCTTGTCGACTAATTGAAACTGAACCGCCTTGCATCGCTGGCTCTCAATAGCCGCTCGCATTATACTGAACAGCAGAGAATCAAGGACGTTTGCTCGTTTTTATTAGTGCGCCAGCCTAGCCAAAATCACAAATCCACCATTAACTAATGATAAAAGCACGGTCCTTCGTTTGATAACACAAAACCAGACCAATCGGGCAAGTAATGTGTTTAATGTCGTACCGAGATAGACTGCGATGCAGGTACAAGCCAAGGAATTATTCTGTACTCATACTTGATGCGTACATTGTATATTAAATAGGCTAAATTATTAGCAATCAATACAAGTGTTACTGTCCGAGCGTCTACGATTTGGTGATAAAGAAATACGACCAGAACGAGTCAAGACTGGTTGTGAAAGGGGTGGTTGCCAATGACATGTTGTGGATAGGTATTGCGGCGGGAACTGCCCCGGGCCAACCCAAGTATGTTAGGATAAGTCTGACGTATATTGTCATTTGAGTCTAATCCTTGTCGGAATGTGTCTTCCGGAAGTCAGTAGATGTTCAGTTTGTGGCTGTTTGTGGCCGATGCACATTTGGATTGTGGCAGAGGTCTTCAAGACGTGGGTTGATAACAGATCGAGATTGTTCCGTCCATGCAAATTTGGATTGTGAGATATTTACCAGCAGGATGCCTGTAAACTGTCTGTCGGTTGCTCTTGTTGTAATGCCCATGTACATTTGGGTTGTGGAAAGGTCTTCAAGGGGTACTTGTGACGCCCGAGCGTATTTGGATTGTGAGGTATTTATTCAGGCGACACGATACATCAGTTGGTTTGTATGATTGTGACGCCAGTGCACAGTCGGGCCTAGACTTGGTGCCAAGTCGGTAATTGTTTTGCTTACGGTACCTACCGGTTGCTGGCTCATCGCATGCAATATGCACGAAGCCTGGTTCCCAGACCAAATGATGCTGACTATTGATGTTCAATTACGTTTTCAAATTTGTACACAACATATGGAAGTATTTTGAATCGCTAGCGAATTCTATGCGAGCACTCTGATTGGTTCCGATTCCATTCTTGGCCGCCACGGAAGATCAATCTCATTACTTCAAGGTTTTGTAATTTGTGTTGTGTAACATTACAAAACGCCTATGTCAGGAATTCGGGAGTGACAACCATGCATCCTAAAATGGGACGGAATAGTGGAATTTCGGTGATTAAGGTTTCAGGAAGTGAGTATTTAGTAAACAAGGAAAATAAAATTGATCCATATCAGACAATCTTACAGCTTTCTTTGATCGTTGTATTGGTGTAAACTTTGCAGATGCGTGATTCACAAAATGAAGCTATCTGCGTACATGTACATGTACATGTACATGTACATGTACATGTACATGTACATGTACATGTACATGTACATGTACATGTACATGTACATGTACATGTACATGTACATGTACATGTACATGTACATGTACATGTACATGTACATGTACATGTACATGTACATGTACATGTACATGTATTTAACCATGTGTAGTTCTATGTGTTTTTCACAAAGCAGAATGTACAGTCACCACTCCATGTACATGCATGAGACATTAATGAACATTTAGGCTTCACTGACCCTGGGGTAAGGTTTTCGTATATACTTATTATTATTTCTGAAGACAATTATTGAACTAAAAGTGTGTCTAGAACCCAGATATGATTATCAAGCTTGTGTATATTTATGTAGTAAAGAGATACCACTTTTTTCGTTACAGGTTTTTTTTTTTTTGGTTTTCTATATGACCTAGCATCATAATAAACAATGAGAAGTGACTGATTGGTGTCTGACTCCAGCTTCATCCGTGTTTAAGTATAATATATAAGTAGATGATCAGTTCGTTGCTGTAATTGTGATTGGCAGGTTCGATACGTGGTGGGTTTTTTTTGCCACATTCCTAACATAGCCGATGAAAACCTCGGTGAAAGCGCCGCAAAGAAGAGCTCAAATGGTCTGCAGCCTGACACGGTCAAAGTCATTGTAATCACTGACATGCCTCAATCGACAAACACTATAGTCGTGAAACTAGTGTTTGTTGACATAATCTGGTTGAATTCGTTCTTAGCGACCAAGCAGTACACTTAGTGGAGGTCACGTACATGTACAGTGACATCCATTGGTGCACGCTGGATCAACACAGTGCAGCTTATACAAGAGGGTGCGCGTTTTGCGTATGCACGGTAGGCCTATGCTTCTCCACTTTGACGGGGACCACTAAACATTACTCATAGATAGAGATGGAAATGCTTGGAGTTCTTCCCGCCTGCACAAAGTTCCAATACTACGTCTACGGAGAGACATTAGTTTAGAAACCGATCACCAGTCATGATGGCAAACCCAAAAATGCGGATTTTGAGGTATTTTTCGAACTTTCCAACAACCAAAATGTATTCAATAGCACTGACAAAATTAATGTAGAAAAAAAAGTACACAAGCTTAAAATGCGCCGTTTTGATGTAGGCGCGAGTATAGTAAAAGATGTACATCTATACCATGAACAGCGCCCCTAGTTTAATGTAGTGTCCAGTCTCCACTCCCCCGCTTTTCGAATTCTCACGGCCGGGCAATTTTTGGATTTTGGTCATCCTAGGCCCCCGTGACCATGTTGCAGATACCTTTTTTTTCTCAATGGATTTGACGAAAAGAACCAATTTGAAGAGAAAATAGCTCCTATACACCTCCCAAAAGTGACGGCAAACTTTTATATAGCACGCTTTTCAAAATGGCCGCCGACGGCACATTGAAATACATAAAAAGTGATATCTCGGGAACCAGATGAGCCATATTGATAAATGAGGTGTCGATTTCCACTATTTCTGGTATTCATTAATAAATTTGTTCTCCATTCCATGCATTGTTTGTTTAATATTTACACATTATTTTCCTTACAATAATTGCCATTTCATTATAATGTTTGTTTATTTCGCGGGTGATTATAATTAATCTGTTGCTTATCATTCATCCGGTTCACAGTTCAATGCTGTTCACTTTCTTGTGTTTGATTTTGTTTTTATATAATTTAATTAAACAATCTTTTTTATTTATATTCTTGTTTCAATTATGTTTCACTTCAGTATTAATGTTTAGGTTTTATTTGCATGACTACTTGCATGATTATTCATGTATGACATTTTCTATTGTCTCTAACCCTCATATTTACATTCATCCCAAGTTCTTCATTTGTTTTTGTCCACTGATTGTTAGTCTGTTTTTGTAACCGTTGAGTTGAGTTGACATTTCGGTTTTATTTTGCCAAGGCATCTCCATATAAACCCCGACTTCGGAAGATGCCTGTATAATTGCCTTTATGGTTGATCTCATTAATAATATTATTCATTAAATAACATGTTTTGTTATATTATAAAAGTTGTCATTTCATTAACATATAATGTCAAACCTAGATAAGAATTGTGAAAACAAAAATAGTCACATATTCAGTGAACATGAATTGCATATTGAGTTGTGAAACAATGAAAGGCTTTGGAGAAGCCTTGACAAAACAAAACCAAAATGTCAACTCAACAGTTACAGAAACAGACTAACAATCGGACAAACATAAATGGGTGAATGTAGATATGAGGGCTAGAAAATGCCATATATTACGTAGAATCAACGAACTAGTCAAATATCAAAGATAAGCATCAATATTGAAGTAAAACGTAAACAAACCAAAAAAATATAAAGAAACAGATGAATCAGCTGAACTAAAAAACCCAAAACACAAGAAAGTGAACAGGAACGAATTGTTAACCAGATGAATAATACACAACAGATTAATTATAATCGCACCCGAAATACACAAACAAAATAATCAAATGGCAACTATATGTCAGGCAAAATGTTCAAATAACAAACATGCAATAGAGAACAATTTTATTTTATTTTATTAATTTATTATTTTATTAAGCGAGTAAAACACATGAATTTAAAACAACTTGTTATAGCTTATAACAGAAAGAAATAGGAATCAAGATAAAACTCAAAATAAACACTCAAGTTAGGTGTGGCGGGTTTAAAGGAAATGACTCCTCAGTTACATACAAGAGCCTCTGGCGCATGAGATAATATTGCAGACTGACATTTTCAAAGATGGCGGACAGCAGTCATCTTCAAATAGAAGATCGTGGTAGTTCCTGAACGTCAAACGAACCATTCTAATGGATTGTAATGCCAGAATTAATTGAAAATAACATCTTAATGTCTGTTTTGGTTCCAAAGATATAATACTTTGGTGTTTTTCAAGATGGCTACCAGCCGCCATTTTGAAGTTTGGGGTCACGATGGTCCCGAAACGAAATGAATACCATTTAAGCAGATTTGTCATGCCAGAAATAGTGGGAATCGACACCTCATTTATCAATATGGCTCATCTGGTTCCCGAGATATCACTTTTAGGTAATTCAATATGGCGTCGGCGGCCATTTTGAAAAACGTACTATAAAAAGTTTGCCGTCACTTTTGGGAGGTGTATAGGAGCTATTTGTTTCTTCAAATTGGTCCTATTTGTCAAATCCATTGAGAAAAAAAAGGTAGCCGCAACATGGTTACAGGTTCCAGGAAATTGACTCTACTAGTGCCTTGACCAAATTTTTTTTCTTCCCAGGCACAAGACCGATTGACTGTAACTCCCGGTGTTACCGGAAGTGCAAAAGAAATTGAATCTAACTAAAACGGAAACATTTTACTACCGACAAATACATTATGGAAGTGTTGAATGAGGAATGCCAAGCACAAAAAGAAATAATTTTGACGTCATCTCCTAAAAGACACCCTCTAGCGAAACATCAAAAAGAATTTAACCTTTTCAAATTTTAAAACCCTCAATCAAAATTTTACCAAATTGCCCCTATGTATTCCGTGAGCAATAACAAATGAATTTGCATGGTTTCATAATCATGACGTCATTCGACCGGAAGTTAATGTAGGGAGAATTTAATAATGATCATTTTGGTTTTAAAATCCATCATAATGATCCCTGTCTTATGCTATTCATAAGATGGAATTTTGCGTCGGGGTGATATAAATCAAATTAGGCTTTTTGCCGTTCACCGACGTTTAAACACTATATACTCAGTGTTATGTTTTGTTCCTAATCCTATAATGACATCGGTTACACCTTATGTTGAACTTTTGGTTCCAAATACTTTTTTAATTAAAAATTCATTTTTTTTTTAAAATTGTTCTAGAGATTCTTTGGATAATTGCAAGCGACTTTGCAAGGTTTCAAAATCATGACGTCACCAGACCAGAAGTTATTGTAGGGGGATTTGAAAACGATCAGTTAATTTTTTTTCTTTAAAATATAAATCCGCCATTTGATCCGTGTCTTTTATAGGGACTATATTCGTACCACAAAATGATGACACCCAGTAAAATGTTGACCTCTGGCTTCAAAATGTTGTGATGTCATCAAACCGGAAGTTAGGTGTTGTTAATACATACCCTTAAACATTCATTATAATTTCCATATTTTCAGAATTTTTTCACTTCATGATGAACATGTATCCTCTCTGAACTAATTCAGTTTGCACATTTTAACTGTTGTCGTCATCAAACCAGAAATATTGTGTGCGTGTACTGACATTTATCATAACCTAAAAGATGTTTGTTTTTTCAAATAAAACGAATACTTTAACTGTAAAGTGAAATTAAAATTTCATTAACCCTTTTTCTGTTCTGACACACCAAATATTCAAAATTGGGTAATGTCCAATAGTTTTCGGCCCTATCACACAGCGTTTGTAACTCAACAAACACAAATCTCGAGTTTTTGATGACTTTTTATCAGAATGAGTGAGGAAACATTATCTGATATAGCTGAATAGGTTTGTGTAAAGTTACCAAGAAAGCACAAAGTAAGTGTTTCACTTACCACAGCATCCTCTGTTGCATTTACAGTGCTTGAGTGAACCATTGTGATGGAACCGACCAACAGCACCGAGAAAATCAACATCTTCCTCTCTATCATGATTATCACGCTCCACGCTAGCTCACAGCAATATCTGTTAAATGTATATAATGCATTTTTTGTAATTTTAATTAAATTTACCTATTACAGGGCTAGTAAATATAATAGTCTGGTTCCCTGACCCCACAATACCCCTACGCCCTGACGTCTATAAGTTACATTACTGACACATTGCCGTAAAAAGTGATCCTTTAATTAATCATTCTACACAAAACACCAAGCGCCGGGGGTTTTGTGCACAAGCCTTATCAGAGGGCCCATGGGCGTCGCCAGGATTTTTACCAGGGAGGGGCAAAGCAAATTTTATCCCAAAATTCCTTAACTTTTTCATTAAATTCTCAATTTATCATTTTTCCGAGCGTGAGCATTGAGGGGGTGGGGTGTAGGGCAAATCCCCCATCAAATTAACAACAATGTGACTTCGCACCTCTTTTCCCCCTTTTTTTTTCTTTTTTTTCTTTCTTTTTCCTTTTTTTGGGGGGGGGGGGTCCATGAGAGGGCCTATCACGCTCAATTGACTTCGACTAAAACCGCCAGCCTCATCATGAAGAATAAGTTAAGACAGAAGTACCGGACCAACTTTTACGAGGATTAGTGAATTTTCGAAATACACTTTTGTGTCTTTTTGTTTGGTCGTACGGAGACAAACGTACCAAGCGGTTTAATGCTATATATGTTGGACAACAGAGAGCGCGCCACAGGCACAGTTGTCACTACTGCCTACACAGCGTCAACACGGATGCCTCACTATTATCGAGTACAAAAATAATATGAAACAACAAAAATAATATGACAGAAACAACTTTGTGGTTTAACCGTGAACAACAATCCGAATGAGTCAACGTTCATGACAACAAATCACTCGTTCTTTTGAGCAATAACTTGTGACATAAACAAATGTAATATCCAGGAACTTCTTCCATTAATATTAAATGATGTGAAATTCAGAAATTTAACTGACAATTTACAAAACAGTACAAATAATGTGAGCGAAACAACTTAATTATTTTAAACCTGAAAAATATATTCCAAATGAATGTCATCGTACATCACAAAACACTCTATGGTTCGGTTGATAAGTCACGATTTACTGAATGTATTGATTTAAAATTCCGTCCAATAATTCTTCATGATGTATCACATTCAGGAGTATATTTTCATGGGAATTCGTCAAACAAGGCAGAAAATGAGATCGAAACAATTGAGTGTTTTAAACGTGAACAATCAAATCCGAATGAAAGCAACGTTCATGGCAAACAAGTCTCACGCCTTTTTGGGAAATAACCCAAGCAGTTTTAAAGACTTTCCATAGTTTTTTTCAGGGGTGTGACCTGGTTGGGGGGGGGCAGTGTTTCAAAGGGGTCAACAGTGGCGGTTCCGCAACAAATGCTCCCAAATCTGAAGGGAGCCGATAAGACCGTCCTCCAATTACACAGCAATTTCGAGCGATAAAGGGGTGGGCGTGATTCGGGGGTTGGAAGGAGCTGGAACTCAATTAACTCCCGTTGGGGGCGCCCTACAGCAATGCAGCCGCAATCAGAGGGCTTGTTTTCGGGCCAGATATCGAACTCAGATTTTTTTTTTCTCTCCCAATATTTTGATAAAATATGAGTTATGCATCCTTCCTCATGCCGCACAAGTGGTTTGGGGGATTTTTTTTTTAAACTTTGCTTCTTTAAAGGGTGCAGGCCAGTAAATCGGTCCGAAATTGCCTACACCGGCCAAAAAACAATGAAAACACAAAATACAATAAACAATTACACAAGACCCCCGCCCCTCCAATTAAAATGAACAGCAAATATGATCATCAAGTCACATAATTTTGAACAGAATATGAGAAATACAATTTCAAAATAAAAATCATTATTAAAGCAGAGGAAAGAGGATATAATTGGCATATGGCCTCATCATATTGGTTCGTGCATACACCATGCACAAATTGCATGGTGGTGTGTTTGTCATGTATTCCAAGTATGCATTGCAAAATATCAAAAAGAAACTAACGCTCGGTCTGCCAGCCTATCTGTGAAATACCCCCATAGGCCTGCTTGTTTTTTTTTTTTTTTAAGGAAATAGTTAACCCAGAAAAGGGTTGCACTCAGTTGGTGGTGCCATTGTTCAGCGATAACAATAAGTCTGCATACCTAAGTAATCTGTTTTTATAAGCTGCACGTGCGACACGTACACCAACCTAACAGCGAAAACAGTTGTCAACGTACAATGCCAGGTGCGGCGTATCCGGCAAACAGCTCCATAATTCTTTGTTTCCCCTTTATGTCGAAAGTACTTGGCATACAAAGGACCTGATCATGATAGAGTACACATTTTAAATTACTCTCCGGGAAGGGGGAGTATTCAATTATGGTATGGTTTTCAAATTCTAGGTTATTAAAATAACCTAGAATTTGAAAATCAAAGAAAAACGTGGTAAGAAACTGTAAACCCCCTTTAAAAAAAAAATGAGCATTCTGCCCCAGGATTCCAATAGTTCAAGAAAACTGCCAGTAAAGTAGCCAGCTAGTAAACGTCTGACCCACACAAAGAGAGATCAAGACAATGCTAGGTGGCCGTTAACAATAAACTTGTAGTTCACAAAGATTTTTTTGAAAAAAAGTTTGAAAGGTTCGTATGAGTGCATGAACAGACAGGTAGGCTTCAATGACAAATACAAACGCGCTAAAAAGAGACTCGCCCTCCTCCGGCATGCAGTTACTTGTTCGTTGGAGTTTGCTGGCCATCGTTTTCCCTTGAAATTGGCCAGGAAAATCCGGTATTCCAATGAACCGTGAACTCGAGGCACGGCCTCATTATCACGTGTATTGCCTGATTGTAATTGTGGCTTTGCAATTCCTGAAAGCCTGTGTCGCTGCGCTTTTAACTCTGTAAACTATTTGGAGTTTCTTTGCACAGGATGCGCGGTGCAACTGATTCAAATACATGTACATGACAGAAAAACAGTGCATACTTGACGTTGCGGGGGGAAAAAAAATATAGCTGCTATAAAAAGCATATGAAACGGAACTGCATTGTAATGCATTGACATGTGGGAAAAACACGCACACAAAAGGAGGGCCACTGTGCCCACGCTTTTTGTATTTCCGCATGCTTTCAATCAGCGCAAAACAGCGATAGCATGTTTTAATAATTTTGAAAACCAATACACCTGGACAAATACCTGTAAGTACAGAAATGTTATAATTTTCCGCAGTTTTTACAAAGAAAAGATGTAAGACAAGTAAAACCACATGTGCAAACACAAATATAATTAAGCGTTAGTGGAGCTTAGCCCTCCAACTCAATCCCATGAAACCTCACTGTACTTACTGTTCATTTCAAGATTTTTCCATGGCCCATGACTCTTTGCTCTAACTATTTTGATCAAAATGCACTCAAAATTATATTTATTGAAGTTACCCCAAATGATCGATGTTTGCATTCCCTTAAAAGGGGCCCAACACATCTGTTGTATTTATTGACCACTTTAAAAGGAAGCTGCTTATGTTTTTTTTTTACTTTCATGTGGAGTTCATGCTTGTCACATTATAACTAGACAGACCTGAAATACAAGTCCAGTTACAGATTTGCGATCAAAACTTCGGAATTATTATGTGATCATCATGGACGTCGCCAGGATTTTTTCTAGAGGGGGCAAAAAAAAATTTTGCCAAAAAATGCTTGTATTTCTCAACCCATTCTCGATTTATCAGTTTTAGAGGGGGGCAGGGACATTTTGCCCCCCGCCCCCCCCCCCAACTCATTAAATTAACACCACTTTGTCTTCGCGCCTCTTTTTCTGTTTTTTTTTCTTTTCTTTTTTTCTTCCTTTTTTTTAAAGCTATAGTCCATCATTTGCAGCCATCCGAAAAGTATAACTGGTGTAATTATTGTTGAAAAACATACTAAGTTGAAAGATAGTAAGGGGACTAAACTCCCTGCGAAATTATTCTTACTGGCAAGCTGTAATTTTGAAGTAATCAACGAAAGTAGGCCTTTCCAACGGTGCGTCTTAAGACGCACCGTAGAAAAATCTAAATTAGTAGTTCGTTTTGTTATTCGGTGAAGCGTGCGCAGGCATTGGCACGACGAACAAGCGCGCGTGGTTGCTATAATTCGTCGGATCAGTGCGCGACGTCGCGAATATAGCTGCAATCGGCTCAGTGAGAACGCGTCTCGGACGCTGAATTCAGGCCCAGTTCAAAACATGATTCAGCAACTTTTGATTTGAAATTGAGATCCTAGAATGCTGTTTTTCTCGGAATATACAGCTGAAGCTGAGCTGAAACTGTCATTTATTAGATTTTGAACACTTGTGTTGCTTCAAACGAACACAATGCACAAATTACAAATGATGGACTATATCTTTAAGCTCTTCAGTGCGGCTTTGTAAATAATGGCCGGTTATCATGTACAGCCAGCTGGTCAACCGTATAGTATTTAATTTTCTTTTCTTGGCCAAACTTAATCCCATACTCTTTTGTTTCTACTTCGAAGAACCCTTGAAAGCTTGATACATATTATTACAACATAGAAACCTTCCAAGTTCAGTGCCAAGGGTGCAATGGTGTCGCAACGTTAACACATTCCCTGTAAAACCAAGTCCTGAATCCCATTAGGAATTATATAACTTGTTTACACTTTTACAACAGGTAAAGTTCGAGCAATGATGGCACCTGATGTTGTCATTCAAAATTACTATTAAAGAAAATGATACATTTTTAGTAGAACTATTTGTTCTTAGCCTATTTCCAATTTTATTGAAATATCGAGAGAAAAAAAATGTAGCCTAGTGGAAATAAGGAACGATACATTATCACCAAGTTATCAAACAATTAGTTATTTGAGTTTTTTTGTCTGACGAAAATTTACGATGAATCAAGAACAGTTCGAAATCATTGGCGTAGAACATTTCCCCTTAAAAATACTTCTTTATGATTTGTACAGTGAAAACAAAACAACAGTCATGTTGTTTATTTTTTTACAAGTCAATTGCTAATTGGAAATCCGTATGACTATTTTAATCTTACATCACTGACATCATGTATATGGTTCAAAACAAATGTGTCACATTTTCAAAAATAGTTGGAACACTCAAACATGCTAATCAAGTCGCCTTGACCCCAAACCGATAACGCCAGTTAACATGTACAATGTAAGGTATCATTATTCCATTTTTGTAATGCCCGTGCCCTTGGGCACAATTGTTTCAAACTTGACTATATCGGTTAACTATTGCCAAGATTGGTACCCAACCAGTGTATGACCTCGCGATTTGGGGGTTCTATTACGACAGGATATACAATTCCAAACATGAAATGGCACCTTTCGGATCGGAAGCGTGACATGAAATCCATATACGAGACCAAACACATTATTACGTCGGTGAAGGGCAAAACCTAATTTGATTTATATCACCCCGACGCAAAATTCCATCTTATAATAATTATTGCATATGGTTTCTCCGTTTTCTTAGAACAGAGAGTACCCAGTCGGATCTGAAACTTCTGAAAGTTAGTTGTAGTGTTGTAGTACTTGTACTCGGTACTCGTACTCGCGTACTTTTCTAGTACTGTTTTGAGTACTCGTACTCGCACTCGTAGTCGAAATGACGGTACTCATACTAGGGCAGCGAAGTACTCGTACTCGACATGTCCAAATTGTACTCGATCATCAAAGTACTCGTACTCGAATAACAGCTACTCGGGGCGAAAACGGTATAGCTTGACTTTACATACTACGGCCTTAATTATTTTATCGATACTTTCAGTTTGAAATGGTTGCTTGGCTTCATGCAGTGGCGTAGCCACGGGGGGGGGGGGGGGACAGCCCCCCCCATGAAACCTTGTCGCCCCCCAGTCCCCCCCCCCCCACTGAGATTTTGAGTTTCTAATTTTTTTTTATCATTGATCTACATGGCGCCCCCCCCCCCCCCGCCATGAAATGTTCCAGCCCCCCAGTACCTGTTCTTGTACTTGGTGGTACAAGTACTCGTACTCGTGCTCGGCAACCTAAGTACTCGACAGTACTCGGCACTCGGAAATAAATACTCGACTACAACACTGGTTAGTCGTTATGCATCCTTCTTCAAAGGTCGGCTGACCAATTCAGAAAGTTTGTTGCAAAAAAAGGAAAAGGAAATGCATCAGTGGCAAGATTTCCTTGGTATCTTGAAATGCATGCGTGTGGCCGTGAAGGGTTACTGGAGGCGGGCAAAAGGTGTGTCCTAAACAACACAAAGATTGGACATTTCATATCTTTTTACCCGAGTGGTAGAAGATTTAAACTTACCTTCAGCTGTCGCATCCAAAAATTGGGGTTCATTACAAGAGAAATGGAAATGCCCTGAAAAGTGTCTCACTGCCCTTCGTCAGTAACTTTCTTAATGGGTGTTCACCGGTCGATCGCGTTGCATTAAAATGATGATGGTATTGTAACGAGAGCGTACGTCATGCATCGATGTACATATTTTATCGGATAGCGGATACTGGCATACGATACTCTGGATTTGGCCTAGGCTTTTCAGTCCCCAAAGAATAGTTCACGTGATCGCTGTCTATCGGGGTGTAGGCCGGTAAATAGGCCCGAAATTGCCTACGCTGGCCAAATCACGATTTGCATGCCCTCAGTTTTTCTGCTATCAGAACATTTTGTGGGCTATAGGCCCTATGAACTTTGGGGTTTAGACAAAAAAGTCATCGGATTACCCCCCAAAATTGAACAAAAATAAAAGATGATGAAATAAGCTTGTAGTTGATGTGTCTCAAACACCTTGGAGAGTTATGAGTATTTTTCGTATTTTTTTGGAAGTGGCCTGGGCGTTATTATCACTCGGGTCTAATGGCAGTGTATTTACTGGTCTGCACTGACCGTATAAGCACTGGATCGTTGAGCAGTAGAGCTACAGATCCATAATCCTATTGTGGCAGTTTGATTGTGTAATTTGTAAATTTATGACGACTTCCTGCACGTTCAATAAGCGCTTTCTTGAATGAATTTCCTGGCAATTGTTTTTATCTGAAAGAATGTTTACATATTCTTTCCTATCACGCTTCATTTTCTACCTGAATTTTCGAACTGAACAGAAATCGCTAATATTAAACAAGGAGACTGTCTTTCACTGTAGAGTTCAGTGAAAAAGAACCAGTCGGTTTTGTTTCTATTTTGCCAGTCCTTATATGAGAGAGAATATAGGCGTCATTCAGTTTCTCCATCTTGATTCTTTGTCTATTTTACACTCTTTTTATGATGAACCGCGAAGTAGCATGATTTATATATACTTCGAGTGAAAAAAAAAGAAGAAAAAATACTGTATATCACCATTAACATGGTCAATAACGGAGGACCGACGAGAAATGTAAGGGTGTTTCCAAGCGGGTTGTCTGGTTGATAACCACCAGCCCCACCCAGACGTAAATAACAAAATGGAAAATCAAAATCTCCTCGATCTTCGTGAATAACACAATCACTCATAGTGCAACCTTCAGTAACTGCTTCTTGATTAAACACTTCTCCCATCCCGGTTGAAAAATAAAATAAAATGGACTTCAACACCCCAGCCAGCCCATTTTGGAAAATTCCGGATCTATACCACTGCAATCCACAGTGATGACGCATTTTCTTAATAAATTTGCTATGATACAGCTCAATAAACCCATACAAATTATAAGACAAAATGGCCGAAGTGATAAGAGGACACAAATCTGACAAAAAATTGTTTCATTAACACCTCGAATAAAATGCATATATGTAATTTGTCTTTGTTTGCTATAACAAATTTTGCCGAAAACTTCTCACTTTGCATATCAACGGTCTGGGTGAAGAGATGACTTACCAAATAGGTGATCAGACATTTGGCTTCATTAATTTAAAGGTATCGATAACTGATTATTCTGATTTAAATTTCATTGGTAAAAAACTAATATGAACGAATAGTCATTTGATGAAAGGTTTGCGGAAACACCATGTGAGAATAATTTCCCAACTAAGAAAATAAACTCGACGGTATAAGGTAAAACCCGATATCTTGCAGAACTGAGTTGTGCTTGCGGATCTCGATGGCTTCCCGTATGCGTCTTGGATGCCAGAACTGGATCGGTGCGATGAGTTCAGCCCCACCCCAATCAACTTCGTGGTCGTTGATGTGGGAATGTTTGACAATGGCCGATTTGTCAAAATCCCCTCGCCGTCCATGTGCTCTGTGTTCCTTGAGCCTAGTAGGAAGATTCCGCCTTGTTTCCCCGTAGACTTTGCCGCATTCACATGGAATGCGGTAGACTCCCTTGGAAGCATGGGCGTCGCCAGGATTTTTTCTAGAGGGGGGCAAAAAAACATTTTGCCAAAAATTGCTTGTATTTCTCAACACATTCTCGAATTATCAGTTTTAGAGGGGGGCAGGGACATTTTGCCCCCCCCCCCCAACTCATTAAATTTACACCACTTTGTCTTCGCGCCTCTTTTTCTTTTCTTTTCTTTTTCTTTTTTTTTTCTTGCTTTTTGTTTGTTTTTTGTTTTGGCTTTTCCAGGGGGGGGGGGCAAGTGCCCCCCCTTGCCCCCCCCCCTCGCGACGCCCATGCTTGGAAGTCTTGGAAGAGGAATCCTGCTTGTCCTTGTGAGTGTGGAGGGTGCCTTGGAGCTTGTTGCCAGATGAGTGGTACACCTTGATGCCGGCTTGTCGGAGGATGCGTTGAAGATGATGAGAAGCTGGACCTGTGTATGGAAGAGTGACTGAGGGAGATACAGTGGCAGGACCTTGGGTAGAGGAGACCCGTTGGTCATACTCCCTGGGATAGGGCCATTTAATCGCAAAATTTTATGATTAATCTTAATATTGTTTTCCGTTGTAGGGTTCCTTGGGACATCTGAAAATGGTGCTCTTAAGTTGCACAGCCGGTATTTTTGCCTTCCAGCTCCAAAAAACTGATATTTTGGGGGCTTATTTTTTGAGAAACGGCTAAAATCATATTTTGGGCCTCTGCTCTCTCCAAAATGGTCCCGTCGTGACCAGTTTGCACTTTTTACCATCCTGATAGGATGGGTAAACAAGAAAAAATATGGTTGGTCCCAAGTTTATCCGTTTTCGTGTTCCCAGGGCATATATTGCTTTGCGGACACCCCCAAATCCTGTGACTTTGCCCTGTTTGGGGACAGAAATGAGTTTAAAACTCACATTTATTCCAAAGATACACGCTTTCTTTATAATTTAAAAACTGCCTGAGGCCACAAGCTTTAATTTAAGTGGTAGATAAGCTTTCTGTCTTGAAAATTGGGCTCGCCATGGCCATTTTTGCTTCCCCTACCCCTAAATCACTCAAAACGGCTGTATAGTGGTTGGCATAGCAAACCTATTGTGCATTTTATGATAACATGGCCAAATTTGGTACAGAGATAGACCAATACCATATCAACACATGTGGATGTTGGAGCATCGCAGATCTGGCCCTTGATGGCCGTGGGAGCCCTCATTTTAAAAGTGCCGAGTCATGCTGAGTCAGCACTATTTTGTAATGCGTTTTCTCGTGCAATAATATGGAGGCTAACATGTCTTTCTGCCTTTTTTTCTACACGCTTGGAGGCGAAACAGGCATAAACAATGGATTTTCTTTCAATACGTCATTGAAAAAAACTTAATAATGCCTGCCAGATGATGTCAGGCCTGGCTACACCTGCAAGAATTGTACTGCACTGTAATGTAGAATACAGACGTATATGTTGTCCTACACAAAGTTAGTTGGGAATTCAAGTTCTGACTCGCCAAAAATGACGTCCTGACAATGTTTAAGACCATCCACTGTCATAGCAGGAATGGGTCTGGCAAAAACCTTGCTCCACAAATAAAAATCAACTGATTTTAGTCACAAAAAATGCCGAATCAGCATTTTGTAAATGCAATTATGTTTCAAGCTTAGGTGAAGAAAAAAAATTGCTAGGTCATTTTCATAAAGTTAACCATAGTATCCGTTTACGGACATGCTTGTAAAATGCAGTGATGGTGATATGTGGGGTGTCGAAGGAAAAGGTGGTTAAAGGTTGGAGGGGGTGGGAGGGCAGGGGGCGGGGTTTGGACTATCAACAATATCTATGCATATCGAATTCCTAGTACATGCGCACTTGTGGTCTAGTATGTGCAAATGGGTGTAAATATGTCATGGGAACACCATTTAGGGAAAACGTACATAACACATTTAGGTATACCGGTACAATGTACATTTGCTAAAAGAATAGGCCTATATATACGCACTGGGATATTTTTTTTCAGGGGGGGGGGGGCGAACATGAACCCATCTTCCCCCACGATCCTCCCTCCCCTGGGGCAATGCCCCACATTCCCGATCGTGTCCAATCTGTCCATAGAAAAATGATTTTTTTTTTACATGTATTTAATTAATTACACGTTTTTTAGTGCAGCCCGGGCATGCATGGTAAACGGGTCCAACTTAACGAAGTCTTACATAGCTATAGAAACTTTTTGAAATTGCTTCCACACAACAAAATAAGCAAACTGATACCAATGAATTAGAGATATGACATTTCTGTTGGTTTGGAAAAAAAACCGGATGACAAAAAGTGGCATAGTGGGGGTGAAGTCCCACAAACTGACCTCCCCCAACGGCGGATTAAAGGGGGAGGGCGGGGGGGGGGGGGGGGGGCAATGGGGCCACGCCCCTCTTTCTTTCTGGTAACGTCGCTAAAAAGGCAGCTATTGCATACATCACCCACAAAACTCAACAAAAGCAATAAATGTGCACCTCCTCCCCATGTTTTTCTATTAAATTTGGGGCGGACATTTTTGGACACATTTTTTTCTTCAACTAGATCCCCCCCCCAAAGAAATTGTGTTTAATATGGAAAACAAGGGGAGTGGGTACAGGTTTATTGTTTTTGTTGAGTTTTGTTGGCGGTGTACGCGATAGCTGCCTTTTTGAGCAACGTAACTAAAAACAAAGGGGGCGTGGCCCCGTTGTCCCACCCCCCGCCCTCCCCCTTTAATCCACCGTTGGGGGAGGTCAGTTTGCAGGGGGTCCCTACTATGCCACATTTTGTCATCCGTTTTTCCCAAACTAACTAAAATATCATAATCCATCGGTTGTATTCGTTTTGCTTATTTCGTTGTGTGGAAGCAATTAAAAAAAGTTTCTGTAGCTGTAAGACTTCGTTAAGTTGGACCTGTCACTGACCAACATGCCCGGGCTGCACTAAAAACGTGTAATTAATGAAATACATTATACAAACCAATCCGAGAATTCTGGACATGGCCCCGGGGGAGGTAGGATCGTGGGGGGAGGCGGGATCGTGTTCTGCCCCCCGAAACAATTATCCCAGTGCATGGTTGCAGACCAGTAAATCGGTCCGAAATTGCCTACGCCGGCCAAATCACGATTGGCATTTCCTCAAAATCTTCAGTATTTGAGCATGCTGTGGGTCATGAACTTGAGTGTTTGTAAAAAAATATGGGTGGAAGCCGTGCACAGGACTGTGAGCTTGTAGTTCCGTTCGATTTTGATAAATTGGGGCAAAGCACTCTATTTTGCAATGGAGTGTAGGCATCGTTTTTCATAATGGCGATGGGCTTCAGGATTATTTTCAGTGGTGATCATCTTCGGATAGAAATTTCTCCTAAAAGTCATCAGATGACCCCCCAAAAATTGAAAAGAAAATGAAAGATAATGAAATAAGCTTTAATTTGATGTGTGTCTCGAACACCTTGGAGAGTTGTGAGTATTTTTCCCGAATTTCTGAAGTGGGAGCATTCACCATTGGGGTCTGTGGAAGTTTATTTACTGGTCTGCAACCATACAGGCCTTTTCTTTTAGCAAATATATATTGTTATAAATGTGCTCCGTAAGTTTTCCCCAAATGGTGTTCCCATGACATATTTTCACTTATTTGTACATAATAGACAACAAATGCAACATATTAGGAATGTGCATAGATATTGTTGACAGTCCAAACCCCGCCCCCACCCCCTCCAACTTTTAGCCAGCTTGTCCCTCGACACCCCATAAATAACAAAGAATCACCATCGCTGCATTTTACAAGCATGTCTGTATACGGAAACTAAGGTTAACGGTGATAAAAATGACCTATAAATGTTTTTTTTTTTCATCGAAGCTTGAAACAAATGAATATATCCTTCACAAATGTAGAGTGCTAGATACATTGTTTAAAATACCTTATATGATTGAAAGACATGTTTGATAACAGTTTATTAGACAAATACAGACTCAAAGCCAAAAATTACCAGTGGGGGTACACCCATGTTACCCTGAGATGCATCTACCATTTTACACATAAAGGACCCAATTCCAATATCAAACATATAATGTTGAACATTTTGGATTGTTACAGAATGCAATCATTGTTATTTGACATTTTTTTCCCAGAGCATGCTTGATTTTAGTTAGTTGTAATTATTTAGTAATTGAAACCCAAGCCATCAACATATATGTTTTAGAGCGTGCTGTCTTAATAATTGATTCGAGTTATATATTTAATTCTGAAATAATTGAAAACCAAGTCATATTTTTTAGAGCATGCTGTCTTAATTTGAGTTATTTTTAATTCCGAAATAATTAAACACCAAGTCATCAACATATATTTTTCATGGTTCAGCAAGATGCTGAACCATGGTTATCGCTGAATCAAACATGACACCCAGATTTGTAACATTATCGGAGATGGGGCAATGTCAGTGCTATTCACACAAATTGGCTTTTTGCTGACGAGATCAAACAACTGACAAGGAACTCAGTTTTCGATAAGTTTAAGAAAGTTGCAGCTAGGACATCCATTTGTGAAGATCATTGAGGCAACACTGCGCTGAAGTGCAGAATTCATAACAGATCGAATGGGTTATAGTAACTTAATGTGTGCCTATTTCATACGTTAAACATTAATTATTGACTCGGACAGAATAGTTATGCACTGCATGTGTATGGTCACGATGTCTTGCAAGGGAACTAGCGTCAGCCGAACCATAATACGGAGTTTGTCATGTAGGCCGCTTAACTTACGCAGCCTATTCTTTACAGGAAAGGGCGGCTGCATGACAGTAACCTCATCAATAGGCCATAATCTCTATCATTTCTAAGTTGGCCTTTGTCATGTGTGTAGCCTATAGTTTTATAATCTGCCTTTGGTGATATAGTTTAGAAAAGTTGACCTATACTTTTTTTATACCCAAGTTGGAAATCACAGCAACAAACTCGTCCAGTCTTCTTCACGTCATGTGCAGCTAGCGCAACCTCCCCTCCCCCCCCCCCAAAAAAAACCCACACACATTTCAATGTCCTTTTAGGAGCTCCGTACTCACAAAATTCGCAACCTGCGAGTAAAATGAAATATGAAAAGAAACGGCATGAATTCTTATAACCCTCACTACAATTGGACATTCAACGGCTTGGCACACTACCAGCACCAATCAGCGACGATGTAACAGATGTCTTCGTCGAGATGAATAATCGCGCCACTTTCGAAGGCGAGGGAAATGTTTTGACGTCGTCGAAAACGTAAGGCAATTTCTTGCTCCAGAGAGAGCGATTCGTCACCAATTTTCGTAGAAAGTAAGTGAATCATGCCAAGTATACTTTAGGCTGTAGTGATAAGAGGTTGTTTGGACAAAAAATGCAGAAGATTCTTGGCATGCTAAGGCTTAGGCCTAGTCCAATTTCCGGACATACAGTTTGTATGCAGGCCTGATTGTATGTCCGGAAATTGGGCGATCGTTTAGTGAAGGGCCCCTGATTTGTTTCGAAATAGAATCAAAGGGAAATGTCCATACTGGACCACAACTTTACCTGCCGCTAAACACATCTATTTCCACCTCACCTTGTGATTTCACCCAAGAGGAATCCAGGAAGCTGTAGGCAGGTAGGCCTAAATCAGTAAATAAATGCGAAAAATAATAATAGGCAAAATGTGTTTTTAGAGCACATTTTGGATGCACATGTCGTGCAGAACTAAGTTGAAGCAGCCGGTCAAAACTGATTGAAGTGGCTGAAAGACAGCGGTACGTAATACGCATGACATCGACAACCATGACGTTGCATGAGCCGGCCAATGATAGTGCAATACGTCATTATGAATAGCCTAATTATTTTCTCATGAATATTTAGTTTATTTCAATGGATACTTCAAATACGTCCAAAGATTGCTTATTGCAACAGCGATTGTGCGCGGCCTAGCGGTTAAAAGTGTCATGGTCATGTATCAAGCAAGAGTCCGGGGTTCGAATCCCAATGAAGTAAGTGACTGAGTAGGAATAAAGGAAAGGAGAGGGTGGGAGTAGAGGAGGGAAAGTGGAGGGAATAACCATAAAGGATGCAACCTTTTGGCGCTTGAAAATTAATTGAAAAAGCAGTGCGTGAAATTAGACAAAAAAAGTGGTCGGACAAAATGTCCGAGCACAATCAAAAGTGTTCTGCCATTGTCAAGTTTTGATCTGCCATTTAGCGTTCCAAATTTGAAGGTCACATGAGCAACCAAATAGGTTATCAACAGTCGAGGACTAGTTAAAACATACTTACATAGTGCTCTCTTCATGATTGAAAACTTGAAATGCGTCCTTTTTCCCAATTAAATTACTCTGTGAAACCTTGCGAGACAAACTTTCAAAAGGCCGCGTTTACTATACTTCAAACACGTGGACGGTACATACACGTGTGTACATGTACAGTATGTATGTTTACGTACATTGTACGTACGTATCCATAATACACACTATGTAGTTGCAATGACAAGCGCCGGGCATTCACGCGCTCGTTTCTGTAGTAAGCCACGTTGTGAGAATTTAGTAACAATCACGCACTTAAAGCATACCGCACAACACAACGTACTTTGATCTTGCTAAATTCTCATTACATGTATTGGGGTGTAAACGCGTTGCATCTATTGCGTGAATATAAGACAACACGTACATGTAGTTAGCAGCCGCTCAGCGTACGGTAAGTATTACAGACCGGATCATCAGAAATAAACAACAAAATACTTTTGAGTGCAAGCGTTTATTTCATACTTCTGAAAAAGACAACTCCACAAAGAATACATAAATCGCTCGGACATTTTGTCCGAGTACATCTGCATTTGGTCGGACAAACCATGAAAGTGGTCGGAAAATGTCCGATGTCCGACTGTAATTTCACGCACTGAAAAAGTGGTGGCCCAGTACGGAAATTTTTCCGAATCAGAATTTGATTTTATTACTAAAAAAGGACATTGTCAACCCAACAAACCTAAAGCAGATTTTGTATAGGCCCCCTACGTCATGTTAAAGCGTAAATCATTGGCTTTCCTGTGATACCAAATTTATTTCTGTAGCTTTATTTTTAGGAAAGATTCCCATATCTGGCCATTACTACTTTTTCCCTTCAGTGACCTATCAAGTATCAGCCATCAGAAAAAAGGGGCCCGCCTAGTGTGTATGTCCTTAAAAGTCACATTTAGCAGGGAAAATATTGAAGTACGCCTAGGCCTTGCCCTATTTACTGAAAAACACTGACTTACAATGTAGACATTTTCAGACCAGTCTCATACAGTTTGTGCACAGGCACGGTGAAAAGTGATGGCCAGATATGGGAATCTTTCCTTAATTTATTCCAAAGATATGACGCAGGAACTTCAACATTATCCTACCAAGTTCCGCTAACCTTATTTCGAGAAATTTGTGGGTTTTTTTGCATCTGCAACTGATTTCTCATCATTTATTTCTGGAATGCCAAGATAAAATTCCAACGTGAATGTTTCTTGGGGTGATTACAGTTACAAATCATTTTGTCTAAAAGTATAGCGAGAGAAATAGAAGGGTTGCGGAGGGGTCCGGGAACTCAAAAGACAAAATGGCGTACTTTCAGGCTCTATACAGGTACATATATAGCCTACATTGAGACTATACACTGTATTCAGGCCAAGCCAATTTTGGCTTGATTCTGTCTGTTGTACAGGGTGCGTAATTTTTATTCCTAGGAGGGTTAGGGGCAATGTCATGAATAATTCATGTTTATCCATGAGAACGGACAATGACATCAACAGCATTGTTGTTAGTTACTCAACTAGTTAAAGCATTTTAAAAGAACGGTTGTCGTCGAGCTACCACACAGTAGCCTAGTGGATAGCGAGATGAGCTATGGATACAAAGATCCCTGGTTCGAATCCACGTCGTCGCTGCTCATTTTCATCAGCTATTTTTCTTCTCCAAATTTATGACTGAGATAATTTTAAATTAAGGGGAAAATAGAACGAGAACCTAAGACTTCCAATGATTCAAAGGAAAAACTGAATTATTCATGACATTGCTCCTAACCCTCCTAGGAAAAAAAAGTACGCGTACAGGGTCCAGAAGCAGCCATGGATTCAAAGCGAAAGCCCCCGATGTCCACCGGTCCGAGTGCCAAAAGAGCACGGAATGACTTTGAAGATGATCCGTCCACATTCGAGGAAGAGTTAGCCCTCCTGGAGAAAGTAGAAGCCGAGATGTCGCAGGCCTCATCTGTTGGATCGCAACAGTCAACACCACCGGGAAGTCGAGGGGGAAGTATTCCTGGTAAGGCACCTGTTAGAAGACTGATCCAATAAGCCCCGCCCGATTGTGTTATACCAATCACAGTACAGTAGTGATAAACATAGCTCCATGAAAATGTGGCCAATTTACTGGACTAGCTTTGTAAATAAGGGCCATACTTGGAACATGTTCCTCAAAATGTAGAACTTCTTTAAAATTTGATTTTCACATTTAGACTATATTTGTAGTTGATTTACGCTTTAGAAGCACACTCACCCTCTTTCAGGGGTGTTTAATCTCAGTTTTAAAGCTGATTTCACCTTTTTTTGTTTTGGATTTCAGCTTTTTTCCCTCACTTGCTGTGTACCAACGTATACGAGATTTCCTAAGTTCAGCTTTTTTATGCCTTTTTCAGCTGTTTTCAGCTATTTTTATCAGTGGTCACGCACACCCCTGCTCTTTATAGTGATGAAGCCCCGCCTTTCTCAGAAGTCTATTTTTCATGTAATTTCCAGGTTCATTTGCACATGTTTGCTTATGTAAATTTCAACATTGAAAAGATCACGCGCGTACTGGATCGTCAGTCACGTAGACTGGAGTCAAGGCACACGAGGCAAGCCAGATATGAAAAAAGACCATGCGAGTGGTGGAGCTCGTTGGTTCCGTGCCCCGCCACTGCACTCGTGTGGTCTTTGGGCAAAACCCAATAGGCTGGCTTCACAAGATAGAATTTGCATCATAATCACTCGGGGGCAACTACGTTTATATAACAAAGTAGAAGCCGAGATGTCGCCAGTGACTTCCATCCCCACATCTGAAGATGTAGGGGTGAGGGAAACAATTGATAAGGCGCATAACAGTTAGTCAGCAAGTCAGGTACAAGTAGTAGTAGGCATCCGTCCGTCAATACTGACGATGGACTGCGCCGGGGGGGGGGGGGGGGGGATTGTCGTCTTTGTTGCAGCAGCGGCTGTGGCTGAGCAGTCCAATTCTTGCATGACAGTCTCTGCCGCAGTTAGCCCAGACGAAAGGAGGTACAAGTACAAAGCGAATAATAGGCTAGCTCATTTGTACCGGCAAAAAAAAGGGAAAAAAAAATACAAGTGAGATTTCCTTTTCTTTTTACTGATACCCATTTTTCTTTTTACCTCAGCTTCATCAAAGCTGGCTCCTTACTGGAACCCCAAGTGGATTCGACCGTCATTGCCGCCTCCAGATCCTAGCAAAGATGCCATAGTCTTCCAACAGATTGATCTAGAACACTACATAGGTGAGTGATGAAAATCATTGAAAGTAAACTAAAATAATCTGTTTCTTAGTTATCATTCAGTGGTCAGATCATGTCTGTTCTGATAAGTAAGAGTTTATGGGTTCAAGTCCCAACTAAGTCAGCTTGCATTTTTTTTTCTCCTGCGAGCCCTTTTACAGCACTAAGGCCAAAAAAATAGTTCTGCTTCCAGTTTCCCTACCTACCGTATTCTGAAAGCCCCTACCCTAATTTGTTTATGGGAAAAATGAGAAAAAACAACACCCAAAACCATCAATTTCTACCTTTTACCCTTTGACTCAAGCAGACACCTCCATATGATCGAACACAACAAAAATGGGCCCCCAAACAATTATTCCCTACCTACCTACCCTATTTTCAAATGCCATGTAATCGGAAGCAGAACTGTTATTTTTGTTGGGCCCGAAGTGCTTACAGAAAATAAAAGGGTCCATGTCATGGATTTTTCTTTGGAACACATTTTGTGCAACTATCTTCTCTTTGAAAACTATTTGATATCCCTTTTAGGTTAAATTTATTGTAAAGTGCGCTTCTCTAATCAACCCTAACCCTCCAGGGTATTTTGGCTAGTAACCCTGCCAAACGCACCAACATGCAACACTAAATGGCAAGCCTGCCAAGTGCAGCAAGATCCATCAGGCCAAAAGTCTCAAGGCCAAACTACCTCAGAGTCTGTGGTCACCGAATGCAGCAGGATACAACTGAGGCATTGTTCAATGGGACTAGCTGTCATTGTCTCAGACACGATCGGGCAGGGTTGGGGTTAAACATTTAAAATTGTCCTCTCTCTTTCTGGACAACCGAGGGCACTGTTGATGTGATGTCATTTTAGGAAGACACTGCTCAGTTTAGGGGTTTTCTGTTCAAATTGTGAACCCCCAAATTTGCTCGTATTTTTTAAGAAAAAAAAATGAGAAAAGTTTGGTCATCGGCTTACTGGCATGCAATGAAACAATAACGAATCACCAAAGAAAAGAAAATTTACAACAGCAAAATATCCAAAATCTAGCAACTACCAACATTGAGGTTTCTGCCTGTTATGACATCACACTTTTACTCGTGAATATGGAAGTTCTCATTTCAAAAACAAAAAGGCACCAAAAATACCCTTGGAAATGGCAAAAGGAAAATTGAAAATAAGGTTAAATGGGACACAGAGGTGGAATTTCAAGGATTGCACTATAATTGCATTGCGTGGGCACTTTAAGTCAGGATCAAAACAGGACATTGAATGAACATCACCCTGAAAAATCAAACACTTTCAATCTCAGGCTGTGCTCCTCGGTCATACATGTATATGGGTCGATGTGGCCTGCAGCCATAGGCACCTTTACGTGCCAGCGGCCCGACCACGTTGTAGCCGCGTCCTTCGCAATTCAGCATACCAGCTGCGAGTAAGGATAATTAGCCTCCCAAATTATTATTATTATTATTATTGATGCAATATTCCATCCTAGGAATGAGAGAGTCTAGTGCGAAGCCTTGATGTACTTTATTAGGCCTCTGCAACTCTCAGATGTCAAACTACATGTTCCAGCCACAAGCACGTCTTAAAGACGTGAACACAAGTCGTACTTTAGTGCACGTGTGTTGGAAATACGTCTTCTGGTAGGGCCTATAAATTGATGAGGCTATTGTCATTTTAGGAAAGCATGTAGTATCCAGACGCCATATTTTTGGTCATGCAAAAAGTCTATGGAGAGTCGGGTGCATTTACAAAGTATATACAAACAAAATTGGAAATGGTTTTCAGTCTCAGATTCATGTCTTTTCAACATTTTTTTTGCAATGACTGACCTTCATTTAACCCTTACCTCACCTAAAGCTACAAAAGACTAATGATTAATAAATACCTTGGAGAGTTGATGGTTTCTGATTGGTCGAGTCTCGATCACGTGGCCGTGCATTAACGGTGATAATGACCGGCTTCAAAGAACAAGCGAAAAAAATGGCCCCTGAACCAGCATTGATCCAGCCCCATGGAAGGCAATGATTGGCCAAATTTACAACAATCATACGGCAGCTTGTAACAATACAGCTCTGCACATGCGCTCAACCACCTTCGCGTGAGACTGACACACGCGTATGCAACACAGTTGCTATGGGTGCGCGCGCGCGCGTAAGGAAGTTTTAAAACGACTGGACATTGTACGTACAGCAGTGCAGTATACTGAGGATGTTTACGATGAAAGCGTAGATCTACGATTTATTTTCTTTAAACACTTTGCCCAACGACATATTTACCTTTCCTAAACCAAGAATCTTTGTAATTCTGGACACAAGGAGTGTGTAAACGAAATTTCAGCTTCCCCCATCAGGAAAAAATATGAAAACATTGTTGTAATTTGTTTCGCTACGACAGCAGAAGTCCAAACCCTGGACGTCGTACGCGTACGCAATGAAGACGTTGTCCAGCAATGTCCAGCGCATCCTGGGCCCGGCTGTGGTGTATATAACAATGCTTATCGAAGAGACAGGGTACCACACATAAGTTAAAACATGGCCCATGAACATGAACACAAAAAGTCTGGAAATATCGCCGAAAGAAAGTCACAAAATTGGAGCATTTTAACTGTTTTATTTCGTTAAAAAGGTATTTATTAATGGGAATAACAGTGTGAGGATCCGGTCTTCACTGCGTGATAATGACCGGGCTTGGGGGTGACCGCTGTTAATGGACCTCGACAGCGGTCACCCCCAAACCCGGTCATTATCACGCAGTGAAGACCGGCTCCTCACACTGTTATTCCCTTAGTAATAACCTGTAGTACCGGGATACATTTTTTTCCATACAAGTGTGCACAACACGTGTAGTATTCTGTGGTATTTGGTCCTTGACCCCCAAAGAGCCCTTAGGACGTTAAGGTTAAATATAAAAAAAACAAGTGGCGTCAGAATACAATATTCTTTCCTCCTTTTATCACTTCCGTTGTAGGCAGTCCCATCAGGGGAATGCCAGGATCCACCGTGGGCCCCGTCCCTATCATCCGCATGTTCGGCATCACCATGGAGGGCCAAAGCGTCATGTGTCACATCCACGGCTTCACGCCGTATTTCTACGTTCCCGCACCGGAGAACTTCCGTCCGGAGCACTGCCGGCACTTCAAGGACGCCCTCAACCACATGGTGATCAACGACATGCGGTCCAACAAGGATAACATCTCGCAGGCTGTGCTGGCCGTGGAACTTGTCACCAAAGAGAGTAAGGTCATATCCAAATTACTTTGCTACGGTTAGCAATCACACTTGTGCCACTTGTCATAGTGAAACCTCTTTTTCCCCCACCTGCCGTGATTGACAACCATAGCCTTTCACTCTGTGACAACTGACACCACAAAAACCACTTGAAACGTGGCGCAAGCCTCTAAACAGACCCTTTTCATAAAATTGGTCACTGCTCAGTCAACCGTGAATGTAATGACATGATCAGGGTGTCTTTTTAAAGAGGAGATTCAACCCTAACAGAGGATATCTCCCTTTAATTCACACGTGCCCTACTTCTGTTCCAATTAGCAATAATAACTCGTTTTTTTTTTTTTATCCACCCTGTATAATGAGATAACTGCTGAAAAGTTTGTGTTCCTCGTGCGTGTTCCATCTTTAGTGTGTGTCAAGTTTGCTTGAAGATAAATCTGTTATCCCACTCATGCTCGTGGTACGTGGGACGCAGACGCACAACATTATTCCGTGTTCCTCTCGCGCATGGGATAATTGAATGACCTCACAGTTTCTTTACATGTTCACTTTCCTATGTGAGCTCAGTGGCTCTTGTTCCCACCTGGCTCCCATAAGAAAGTGCACATGTAAACCAACCTTGACGCAGGACTACTGCGACAAAAAGATACATGTAAATCCCACACCGTCATTTAAACAATTTGATTTTGTTTATCAGGTATCTATGGTTATCACGGCCCAAACGGGATGCGACCTTTCTTGAAGATCACTGTGGCATACCCTAAGCTCATAGCGCCATCCAAACGACTGCTGGAGTCTGGATTTGCCGTACCCAACCTGTACCCAGTCAGGGGTTATCAAACCTTTGAGAGCAATATTGACTTTGAAATCAGGTGAGTGATAATGTGGAGTGCTGTGGCCTCGTGGTTAAGGGCTCTGATTCGTGGTCTGTTGGTAAAGCTGCAGGTTGCGGGTTCGAGTCCTGGCAGGGTAATGGTGCGTGTGCCCTTGGGCAAGGCACTTCGTCACTCATTGCTTCTCTCCACTCAGGAGTAAATGGGTACCTGTGAGGGCAGAGATGGTAATAATGATGTAGCGCCTTGAGCACCAGTCCTGGTGGATACGTGCGCTTTATAAATATCCACTATTATTATTTTATTATTATTTGAATAACTGAGTGAAATGCTATAGACTCTTTGCACAAGTACCCCCGCAATGGTTACAAAGGGAGAGTTGGGGGAGACCACTGGGAGGGACATTCAAACCCATTGCACGCTGCGCCTGGTGCCCACATCATGTACTGCACATGTTCTTTATCCCTAAGCCGGCCTGATGGCCACAGTGGCTCATGACAGACTTTACTTCCTTTTTTTTTACTAGGGGCTTGGCAACCCTAAAGAAAGGTAACAAAAATGGAAGGAGACATTTTTTTAAAGTGAGCAAAATTGATAGAATGGCAGCGTGTAGCTCTCATTTCTGAAAGCATAGCAGCTGCAGCTGCTATTGGATTCCTGGCTAAAACAGTTCTTTGAGTAATGGTTTGGAAAGATTCTGTCTGATTAAATTGTTTGTTTTTTTCTCTGTTAAAACTTTTATGATACAAAACAAACAACCTTGCATAGATTCATGGTTGACACGGACGTCCTGGGCTGCAATTGGATGGAAATACCCGCCGACCAGTATCGTCTCCGGTCCAGTTCGTCCATCCCGGCACCAGTTTCTCAGTGTCAGATCGAGCTAGACGTGGCTTACGATCGTTTCGTCAGCCACCCAGCTGACGGAGAGTGGCAAAAAGTGGCTCCCTTCCGCATCTTGAGCTTTGACATCGAGTGTGCTGGTAGACGAGGTTAGTTTGATGAAAAAACCCAAACAAACAAATAAATGAATAAATGCTGTTTTGGTATTTACCTGACCGTTTAATATTGTTGTTATTTTTTTTAAATTTTAATTGAGGCACGTTAGTTTTTGATGAATGTTTTAAAGTAAACTACATGTACATAACATAGCTGAATTATTACAACGGTGATGTCTTCATTTCTTTCGCCCTATTTTTTCCTCATAATTGTAGGTGTTTTCCCGGAAGCTAACAAAGATTCGGTGATTCAGATCTCCAATATGGTGATCCGACAAGGGGAGAGGGATCCCTTCATTCGTAACGTCTTCACTCTTAACACCTGTGCACCCATCGTTGGGTCTCAAGTCCTGTCATTCAGCAATGAAGCTGATATGCTTAAGGTACATGAAGCAGTATTCCTTCAGAATAAGCCAGTTTGTAATTTCGATGACCTGAGGTAATTCGGGATAAGGGCAAAAAAAAAAAATATTCGGTCTCTGGTCAGACCAAAGTTCCGGAATTGACGCGGCCACACGGCTTTTTTTTTTGTTTTTGCTTTTTTTTTTTTTTCTTCAAGCTTGGATTGTACAGACAAGGTGGGGTACTATTTTGCTTTTTTGGTGTCCTCATGTACATTGGTGTCCTCCATAATTTGCCTTGGTGCTTTCGATCATTTGCCTTGGTGCAATTTCCCATTCCTTGTGCTCTTTGGTAAAAAAAAATTGAGGAGGTGCGGAAATAGAGAGCGCTGTTGGAGCTACCGTGGAACATTTTGGAAAAAAAAAGATCGACGCGCATGATTAAATAGATGCGCGCGCTGACCAGAGACCGACTTATTATTTTTTTTGGCCTAACATCGCTGACGTAGTGTTGCTTAATACACGCATGCCCATTCTGCTGGTAATTTACACGCAAGCATCTTGCACCCCCATTATCATGCGCCTTCGAAACGTTCTATTATCCCGAATGACCCGTGACCCATATCATTGTGAACATGCAAAGTTGAAGCCAGTTCCGTATTTCAATGACCCGAGGTCATTCAGAATAACATCGCTGATGTGAAGTTACAGGATGTAACGTGCATGCCCATTCTGCTGGTAATTTACATGCAAGCATTGTGCACCCCCATTCATGGGCCTTCGAAACGTTCGATTATCTCGAATGACCCGTGACCCATATCATCACCGTCACCACGAACTGACACTCACGCATGCGTGAGTGCGCTGCACGTGAGCGTATTTACAGAACCAGGATATTTTGGGTTTCATGAACTGACATCCTCCACAGTGCGGCACTTTTAGAGCGCACCCCGTGCGTTTACGGTTTCACGAACTGACACCGATCTTAATTTTACCAATTGAATCGCTTTTTAATTAAAAATGTGTACAATCACACAAGTACACAGAAAGATTAAATTTGTGTCAAACCTTTCAAACCGTTTTTCTCCGTTCTGTATTGCCGCATCATGCTTGGGTGTCAGTTCATGAAAACGAAAATGTACGGGGTGCGCTCTAAAAGTACCGCACTGTGGAGGATGTCAGTTCGTGAAACCCAAAATATCCCGGTTCTGTAAATACACACGCGTGCAGCGCACTCGTGCTCGCATGAGTGTCAGTTCGTGGTGACGGTGACGATATCATTGTGCACAAGCGCAGTTGAAATACCAAACTGGCTTATTCAAAAAAAAATTTACTGACCAATATTTATTTTTCTCCAAAGTATACTTGATAACAAAGAAGATGAATATTGTTGTGGGTCTATTCGTCCCCTGTTACTTGTGACTGGACTAGTGAAATCACTTGCAGTTTACTAGTCTTGGCCCAAGACGTAAGTGACTAATTGCTAGCGATGGTTGCATTGTTGTAAAGTGCCCTTGAACAATTGTTTTTTTTTTACTTTCTCGCGCTGACATCATGGGAATCCTGCAGTAATGGGGGCGTGGCCGATTTATGTAAATTAGACCGTTGATGTAAAAATTAGCATCTTTGAACAAAACAGGTGCTTCCCATTTGATACTGGTGGTCCCTCGCGCGGGGGTATCACTGCATTGCATGTGCGATGCTTGTTCACAAAAGTAGCACGTATGTTTACAGCTGTCGCGCTCGACTGACTATAAACCATTTCACGATCGCTGATTGGTTCCCTATGGAAAGTCTAGGTAGAAAATAAAGAAAAAGTGAAACGACTACTACATGATTCTCAAGACGTTAGTACGAGCAGATGTGCTGGTCTAATCATGTCGTTAGATGTGCACGATCCACTGTCGATCACTAGCTTCTTGGGCCAAGACTAGCAGTTCACTTGTGACCGGACTTGTCATCTACTTGTGGTCCATCACGAGTACCTCAACTTCTAAACTGCTGTGAAACTAATCTTTCAGGCGTGGTCGGAGTTTGTCAACGTGGTCGACCCCGACATTTTGACTGGTTACAACATCGTGAACTTTGACATTCCGTACCTGATCAACCGTGCTGCTGCCCTCAAGGTCAGTACTTTCCCACTCCTGGCGCGTATCAAGGATTCTCGCAGCGTCATCAAGGAGTCGACCTTTCAGTCCAAGCAGATGGGCAAACGGGAGAACAAAGTCATCAACATTGAAGGGAGAGTACAGTTTGATCTTCTTCAGGTAAGAAAGAGATCCATCTTTTCAATTTTTGAAACCTTAGAAGCACTGCAGTACTTGATTACATTCGGGGTACACGTAGTTAAGTTTTTACTTTTCAATGACTGCCCGCTATATATTATGCCAATCATTGTTGATTATTTTATCATGTTAATCACGTCAATCTGCAGACAGAATGGGAACACGTCAGCCTTTGCTGAATGGCTAAACGTTTAAATGATACTTAAAATATTTGCTAAACGTTTACAGAATCAAACGCAAAGTCACATCCTTATTTCAGATCCTTCAGCGCGACTACAAGCTGCGTTCCTATCGGCTCAACGCCGTCAGTTACCACTTCCTACAGGAGCAGAAAGAAGACGTACAGCATTCTATCATCACGGACCTCCAGGTGTGTAGTCCTCTCCAAAAATATCCAGGAGAAGTTGCAGAAATGTTTATCCGCTACAGGCTAGGGCTGTGCTGCGCACACAGAGTGTTCAATTATCAGTGTGGTGCTGTGGTCCAGTGGTTAAGGTGTTCGACTCGTGTGCCGTGGTACATGGGTTCCAATCCCGACCGTGGGAACATGGTACTTGTTCTCTTGAGAATGGTTACTATGCTTTACCATTATTGCTTTGTCTTTCGGATGGGACGTAAAGCTGCAGGTCCTGTGTGTTGTGTAATGAACGTTGAAGAACCCAGTTACACTTATTACTAAGAGAAGGGGTTTGCCCCGGTGTTTCTGGCAGTGGCTGCAATATGCACCGCAGCACCTTGTAATTATAAAGGTGCTACATAATGGGCCCTTCTCATGTACTTCATTTACCTGTCTCTAATAATAGACATAATTTGCAGCACCTTAAGTACCTAATTGTTGGTAGATACATGCGCTATATAAGACTCTGGTATTATCAACGGAATAGCCGAGTAGCATTTTATTATTAAAATATTCGAAAAAAATTTGAGCAGTCTCAGGGAGATGATGATTGTTGTCAAAATGCCACACTTTTGTTGAATGCCACTTTTGCACCTGATTTGAGAGTTTCCAAGAGGACTATTAGCTCAAATTTTATTTTTTTTCCCATAAAAATCCGTCATTCTGTTAACGGTTCATTGTATTATTTTAACAAGCTGTTGCTCATTTTTCAGTTCGATCGACGACCACTTTAGGCTTGGGCGCTGGGCATGTTTAACTTGATCAGTGCATTTTGAAATTAAATATTCAAATATTCAATCAAGTCTACGTTGGAATCATTGAATACCAAATTATTCGAAAAAAAATGCACAGCTCATCGGATACGATTCTGTACAACTTTGTTGGAATCCCTTGTAATGAAGTTATCACCACTGTGGCCTGGGTATGATTCCCGGCTAAGGTCATATGTGACCGGCTCCACAAAAAAGGGTATTAAGTCGCACTGTGTGCATTACATGTATAGTGTAATAATGACCTGCTCAACATTGAGAGGGTGAAAATTTTGTCAAAATGTGAGTTTTTTTTGTCATGAATGACATCTTTAATACATAATGTTTCAGGTTTCATTCACAGAAATGTTGATTTTGATGAACAAAATTGAAGAAACAACCATTTGTGTGCATCGTTCTGTTGTTTGACAACAAAGCCAGCTATTTCAAAGCCTGTTTCCCCAGTTGTATAATTTGAACACCAAGGAATTAAGGAATATGCAAATATGTCATATCTCCAGAACGAGATGGGGCTATCGGGCTCTAATTTATACCAAATGAAAGCTTACAATGTGGGCTTTCCAACAATGCACATAACTCAATTTCACTTTGTTGTGACACAATATCCTCTTTTGTGGAGCTGGTCACGTATGTGAGTAGTGTTGTTTGTTGATTCTCTCCCGGGCCACGAGGGTTTTTTTCTGGGTTCGCCGGGTTTTCCTCCCTCTGCAAACATCACTTAACACCTGGCTGTGCTGTGTGGTAAGACATGGTTGTATGGCAGCTGCCCTCAAGGTGCCTTTACATGCTTTCGGCTCGACCACGTTGAAGCTGCATCCCTCACAACTCAGCTTCTGCTATGAGTGAGGACGAGCACAATTTGGCTTTAATTACAAGACTTGCCTTGTTTTCGTATTTTCAGAACGGTAATGACCAGACAAGACGTCGCTTGGCAGTCTACTGCCTCAAAGACGCCATGCTGCCCTTGCGACTTCTCGACAAACTCATGTGCATCATCAACTACATGGAGATGGCCAGGGTTACCGGCGTACCCTTGCCGTATCTGCTCACAAGAGGGCAGCAGATTAAAGTGGTATCGCAGCTCTTACGAAAGGTGGGTCTTCTAAATACAATGTATAAAGTTTGTGGTTGCACAATGTGACGTGAAATCTCTTGTACGAGTCTGTGTGGTTCTGAGAAGAACCGGAGAAAATCAACTTTTGGATATACAATGTAATATGCTCTTTCTGTCATCAGGAGCCTAAGGAATCCAAATGGTGCTGTGATTAAAAATATAAAAAAAACGATTTGTGGTTAAAGATTCTGACAAGAGTATTGGTTATGGTAATCGTTGCTATTTCAGGCCAAGGAGCAGGATCTCGTCATGCCGGCTCATAAAGTAGAAGCTGGAGAAGATTACACTGGAGGTTATGTCATTGATCCAACCAGAGGGTAAGCAGGGTGTTTTCCAAATCTCGGCTTAATTAAAGCTAAATCACTTTAAAAATACTTATTCATTGGGGACGAAAAGGGAGTCTCTCTCACATTATGAAAAAAAGTGACACTTGGAAAACTGCGTTGATCAGGCCAAAAAAAAAAAAAGTCTCCGGTTTCTGGTATGGAGCTTGCCCCAAAAGTGGTGCAGCGACGCGGCTTTTTTTTGGGACTTTTTTTCCCCTTCAAATGTCGGCTGATGACTGCAAATGATGGCCGACTAAATGTAGTGTTATAATTGTGCAGCAGCAGGATTCCAGTCAAACCAGTGAGTTTGCCGGTTTTGAGACATCATCTTACATTGAAAAAAATACTTTTTAATTGTTTGGCCTTAGGGCAGCAAGCAGAAATAGCAGCGTGGCCTGTATCGGTTTTCCACAGTGCTAAACTTGCACGATGCGTGAATGCGACTTTGTATCGTATTATTTAACTTCCCAAAATTTGTATTAATTCTGTTAGAAAGAACATCTTTGTAAATACTGTACCTTCCCGTCTTTGTTAAATCTTAAAAAAACAGACGTTCTGTCAGACAACAGTCCTATCTTGTTTCAAATCATGAGCGAAATTAGCTAATCATAAATCAGTAAGGACAAGAGTTCAATCCAACACACACAATAACTGCAACTGTAATCGACTTATCGGGTTTAATGGGAGACTTAAATGCACATTGAGCGATAAACGATAGAACGAAGGCAAAAGGTCGAAGGTCACGAACGCAAGAGGGCGTAATCATTACTACTGGCGATGCCCATGTACGAGTATGGCACAAAACAGTTGTCTGATTGTAGATCCGTACCTTGACATCATCAAAATGGGTTCTGACATGTTCACAACAGCTTTTGTTTTGCGGCCAGCTTTTAGCAGAAAACAGTAATTGAATGTAGTTTCAAAGTGTGCCTGTTAGCAACGGCATCCATTTATGAAACACCAAAAGTATAAAGCATATGTTTGCTGTGTTCTCAAAATGTATTGTAGCCACATAGCTAAAACTACAACAGCAGCCAATTTCATGAAACCCTAAACAATGGCGCAACTCTGCTTGCGCCACAATTTATTGCGTAAGTTGCGCAACATTGCACGCTGCGCAACATTGCACGCTGCGCAACATTTCACTTATGACACATTTCACGAAAGTCCGACTTGGCGCAATAAATTATGGCGTAACTTGCGCAATCATTTTAAGTGGCGTAAGTTGTGGCGTAGCGACTGAAAATGACACATTTTACCAGCAAATCAGGACTGTCGTGGAGCCCGTTTTTGCACAACTTATCAAGGTAGATACAAAACACTCACAACTTTATGTTTGAAGTAAATGGATTTTTATTTTACTCGTAACACAATTTTTAGAGTTGCCAAACTATTCCGAAGGAAGTCGGCCAAATAATTTTCAAAATGGCAAGCTGAGGTGCTCCAATGACTCTCACACAAACAGCTTAAATTCTCACTCAAACAGCCGTCGTAAATGTTGTTTTTATCCTCGTCCAAGATGTTCACATTATTTAAAACGTTGCGCACCTACGTCAAGTTTTGTGAATCAATTGTAAGTTTATTGTGCAGCTGCGCAACAAATTTGTTGCGTAAGTCTTACGCATGGCGCAAGCTGTGCAGTATTTTGCGAAATCAGCTGCGGGTTTCTTATGCACCCTTAAATTTTGAGCAACTTTATTGCTTCTTACAAAAAAAAGGGACAAAGAGTAAATGATCCTGTGTACTGTAAAGTTAATTTTGTGTCCTTGTTCCTTACAGATACTACAAGATTCCGATAGCTACTCTTGATTTCTCATCTCTGTATCCCTCCATCATGCAAGCTCACAATCTCTGCTATACATCGCTGCTCTCACCTAGCCAGAGAGAGAAGTAAGGAATCTTCCTTAAATATGCGCTCCATTTTGTGTTCATTATATATTTAAAAAGAAAGTCATCTTAGACATATTTATAAACTTGTTGGTTTTCAATTATTGATGCATGTATTAGCTTATTACATGTATACATTATTTCAACAAAAAAATGTACGACCAGAATTTTGTTTTCTCTCACAGGATGTCAGCTGATGAGTTCATCAAGACACCATCAGGAAACTACTTCGTTAAGAGCTCCATTCGCAAAGGCATACTCCCAGAAATCTTGGGAGATCTTCTCAGTGCGAGGAAGAGGTCTGAAAAAAACAACCCCAATTTCTCATGTTTTGATTATGTGAAAAACGTCACAGTCATTAAGCAACAACTCAAAAGTTAGAATGTTCAAACTGAAGGTTTGCAGTATCAGAATGGAGAGATTTGTAGTAGGCACCGGTAGGTATTTCTTGGAAGAACCCTTGGAAGAAACTCAAAATAAGATATTTTGGAACTTTGTAACAACCAACCTTCACTTCAACTTCTTCACCTTTGCATGCAACGTGTCAAATCTTTGAACAAGTTTAGAATTGCAGTTTGAACTTTAGTTAACCACAGAATATTTTAAACTACACTTGTCAACCCTAGTCGGACTAGACTAGTGTACTACTTGTTTTTTTTTTGAACACGCCTGAAACCGCGGTGCATTGTTCTCGCCGCAGAAGTTTGGACTTTCTGCAAGGACGTCAGGTGCATGTTTATGCATTCAGTCATCAACATCAGTGCATAAACAGCCACTTCTGAGACAATGAGAGCCAATCTCATTGAACAATGCCACAGTTGTATCCTGCTGCATTCTGTGACTACAGACTCGGAGGCATATTGGCCTCGAGACCTTTGACCTGATGGATCTGTCTACAGTTGGCAGGCTTATTATTTAGAGAAGCATGTTGCTGCATTTAGCAGGGTTTCTAGCAAACAAATCCTTGAGGGCTAGGGTTAATCAGTTGACCAGCTCTTTCTAGCAATTTGAACTTGGGAGAGATATGTAGATAACACCTGGTAATGGTAAGTTCTGAGATGAACTATCTTGACATTTTATGCTTTTATTATCATCGAGAGAAAATAAGATTGTTGTTTTGACTTTGTTTATAATCGCAGAGCCAAAGCTGATTTGAAGAAAGAGACGGATCCCTTGCGGAAGAAGGTCTTGGACGGTCGACAGTTGGCTCTCAAAATCAGCGCCAATTCAGTGTATGGTTTCACTGGGGCGCAGGTGGGCAAATTGCCTTGCCTTGAAATCTCACAAGTAAGCTGTTTTTATGTATCGACTTGAAACATTGCATAACACAATAATGCATTTTTAAAGTTTTAAACATGTTTACTGTTAAATAGCCAAAATAGCCCGGTGTCTGTTGTCTAACACACACTTAGAACACACAGTCGTTTTTTGCTATGCTTCCGAGGATTGGCTTTGTGTTTTCCTTTGTTCCCTGATCTAAACCTTTCCCATAGACTTAGTGCACAAACCGGCGTTCGAGGACAATAGGCACCGTCGTTCGAGGATGAATGGCCCCTTTGTGCTCCTTTTGTTGTCTGTCCTCGAGCGTAATACAATACAGGAACACACAGGTTTGTTTATGGTGTACATTGAGGATTTTCTATTGTTCCTCTGCCCTTTTCCTTTGTTTATACTCTAACTTTATTTGCAACAGCTCTCATTGGTTTTGTACGCGTTTTCTAATCGTGGTCGTCCCGGATATGGTTCCTGTCCTCAATTCATTGATGATGTTGCACGTGTGTGTGCTCGATTTACACCATAAACCTGCTTATCTAGACTTTCCTGTCTTTTGTCCCGTCATATTCAGAGTGTTACAGCCTTTGGTCGCCAGATGATTGAAACGACACGGCAGCTTGTGCAAGATAATTACACCATCGAGAAAGGCTACAAACACAATGCAGAGGTGAGAAATACGCTGCATCTAAATTGTGACCTGCCATATCATAATTTGAAATAACCCCCACCTTTGACTTTATCAGTTAAATGCATCATGTTAAAGAGCAAATCATGGGCTTTCCAGTGATACCAAGTGTACTTCTGTAGCTTAATTTATGTCAAAGATATGCCACAGAAACTTCAACAGTGTCCCACTGAACTTCGCAGACCTCATTTTGAGAAAAACTGCTTTGAAACAAAAGATACGCGTTGCGCCGCCAACGGCAGTGAAAAGAAAGTTCTTAAGTTTTTCCACTTTTGGGGGTATTTTTTCCTATTAACAAAAAGTTACAGTGTGAATCCTGGACACCTTGGTTACTCAAAAATAGGGGGAAAAAAGTGATATAGATTTTGACACAATTTTTCTGGTATACCCGACTTCAGGTAGTCTATGTATTCGCCGTGGTCTATTATGCGCGAACAGATTTGCTGATTAATTAGGCAAGACCCCGCCTCTTGACCTCCTAGATTTTGACCAATCAGCAGGTGCTTTCTATAGGTCTATCGGGTCTTCAGTCATTAACCCGTTGCGCATCATAGACATGGATTTTAAAAAAATGTCACGGCGCGCGGCGCTCGGTATCGTGTTTCGCGAATGCGCTCCCGGCTGTTGCTGTATTACAAAACGCTGCATTCGAATTGACCAATCACGGCGCGCGGCGCTCGGTATCATGTTACGCGAATGCGCTCCCAGCTGTTGTTGTATTACAAAACGCTGCATTCGAATTGACCAATCACAGCATTAGTCCTGATTTTGGGATGAAATGACGTCACGATTTAGTAAAGTCGACTCAGATTGGCTGGCCCGTGACTTGCATAAATCTGCATGCTTTGACATATCAGACGTTAAACAGGAGATGGCTCCGTGGATAACGGGTGATACTCGGACCTTTCTTCAGGTGTCGATTACTCAAAACAAGGTTTTGGGGACATTCCTCATTTTGCCACAGCAGGTCACAATTACTATGGCTGACTCTAACAGGTGCCACAATGGAAGGGTCTGTAGCCACTTCTCATATACGTGTGTCATACTGCCAGCCATGAATTTTATTCATGAGTCGGCTATATTAAATTGAAAGTGAGGTAACCTCTTCATTTATGGAACTTGTGAGCAGAAAGAAAGCAGTGAAATGAAAGTTAATTACAAAGTAATACCAATCTGCTCTGATGAATAATCTAAACTTTGTCAGTAAACGTACCCTAATGTGTTGAGCCACATTTAAAAGAAAAAAATAAAGCGAGGCTTGGAACACACTCCAAACATAAAATAATCTGGCACCATCCCATTCAACAGTTTACAGTGATAGGAACACGATCGAAAGTGGCTTCCTTGTGAATAAAGGTCTATAGCCATATTATGCAGTGTTGTAGTCGAGACCTTGCAAGACCTTCACAAGACCTTCACAAGACCATCACAAGACCCACACAAGACCTCCAGTCTTAATTCAAATACAAGCTATTCAAATGAACTGCATCAAAAGGCATTTCCTTTGTCATTTTTAGTGCCTGGTTACTTGTGGCTGGTCTTGTGTATGGTCTTGTGCTTGCTTTGCAACTGGTCTTGTGTCTGGTCTTGACTACATCACTGATATTATGTGGATGCTACGGTATATGTGGATGCTATATTATGTGTATGCTGATCACTAATGAGTTGTGGAGTTATGGGCTCCGTCCCACTTCAAGGGCCAGAAAAGGCGAGTTGGGGGAGACCTAGACTGGTTCATCCACTGCGTATTTCGAATGATCCAAAGTTATTGGGGGTTGGGATTAGTCTGGGAGACCATCGCATGTTAAATTCGAATGTATTCGCGTGCCGACAACGCCTGACGCTCATGTTAAGATGCTGTGGCTAATAGCTTTTTCACATCAGGAAGTGGCATGCGAACCAGTACGCAGACGCTGTGTGTCCCGTCCACGGAGCTCTTAAAAGTGGTAAAAACGCGCCCCCTTTTGTTGGCGCACAGAGCCAATATCAAAACATTGTATTATAATGGGTTGGCAATGTTTTATAGTAAAATTGGATGGAATCTCAACATTATTTGTTACCCCTTCTCATTGGGCCCATGAAACTTTCCAAAGACGATCTCAGTGGAAACAACTTGAGAAATCACGCTCTGTTTTTGTTACAGGTAATATACGGCGACACAGATTCCGTCATGGTAAAGTTTGGAGTGGATACTGTCGCAGAGAGCATGGAGTTAGGCAAAGAGGCCGCACAGATGATCTCTGATACCTTCCCTCATCCAATCAAACTGGAGTTTGAAAAGGTGGGTGTCATTTTGTAGAATGCCATGGTCCAGTTGTTAGGCCAAAAAAAAAAAGTCTCCGGTTTCTGGTATGCGCGCGCGTCACCGTAGCCATGCGCGTCGGCAAAATGAAAAAGTTTTTTTTTCAATGAAAGATGATGCCTCAAAACCGCCAAACTCACTGGTTTGACTGGAATTCTGCTGCTGCGCAATTTCAACGTGTTTTTAGATGGAGTTATAATCGAAAATAAGCTTTATGTGGCCTCTCTGGACTCCCATATATTTACACTAAGTTAAGTCGGGCCCCATTTGCAGTCACCAGCCGACATTTGAAGCAAAAAAGTCAGGGAAAAAAAAAAAAAGTCGGGTAAAAAAAAAAAAAAAGCCGCGTCGCCGCACCACTTTTTGGACAAGCTCCATACCAGAAACCGGAGACTTTTTTTTTTGGCCTTATGGTGTTTGGCTCATGTACGATGGTACGTGGGTTCAAACCCTGCCAGGAACATGGTGTTTGTGCCCTTGGGCAAGACACTTAACTGCTATTGCCTCTCTTCACCCAGGAGTATAAATGGGTACCTGTGAGGATAAAGGATCGAATATAGGTTGATATTGACTGCTGTGTGGTCTTGTGGCCTGATGAACGGGGGAATAATTGTAAAGCGCTTTGAGATTGTTGATATAATGGAAGGCGCTATATAAGCTTTACAATTAAGTTTTTAGAACTGGCCTACCCCAAGAGAATGGAGTTACTGTCTGGCAGCCAATAATTGAAATTGTAAAGTAAACATTCAATAACTAAACATGTGGCAGTTTTTTCAGTCGATGTCTCATTCAAAAGTGAATAAATTCTGTATTGCTAGAAAAATAGCAGTTCAGAAAAGAAATCTTTTTTTTTTTTTGGATGGAACTCAAAAACAGCACAGGGAATGTAAACTTGAACGCGCCGCCTTATCCCCCCTCAGGTGTACTATCCCTACCTGCTGATCAACAAGAAGCGATACGCGGGTCTCTTCTATTCCAGACCGGACACATACGACAAGATGGACTGCAAGGGAATTGAGACGGTCCGACGTGACAACTGCCCTCTAGTGGCCAACATGATCAACTCGTGCCTGCAGAAAATCCTCATCGGCAGGTAGGATATTACTGGCCAGGGCATTCGATGCACACAAATTTTCAGCCGACTTGGTGAGATCACCGTTGTTCTATTTTGACGATTTCGTGTGGTTTTTAGTGACCTATGAACCCGATAATGCTATTTTTTAGATCGGGAAAACACATGATAAACATGCTGTAACTTAGATTTTTCCAATATGGCGGAGAATAATAAAGAGGTAGAGTTTTTTTTTGGCTATTTCTCCCCAAAATAGCTGAAAAAGGGTCAAAAAACGACATCGTCTTTTTGACGATTTTGTCAGTTCCCTGTTTCTTTCAGCAAGCTGCGTAATATGAGTGTAATTTCAACGGCATAGCTAATACTTGACCAAATAGTGTGACATGCTTACTGGAGCAGTGTTGCAGTAGACCTTTATTCACGAAGAAGCCATTTTTGATCATGTTCCCTGAATCATTTTTGTAAATTGTGATCAATTGAATGGGACGGGGCCAGACTGTTTTTTAATTTGCGTGCGTTCCAAGCCTCACTTTCCAATTGTTTTACAAGTGGGTTAAAATTAGCGTATGTTAAATTTTTAATTATTTATCAGAGCAGACTGTTATTTATTTGTAATTAACTTTATTTCATCGCATTCATTTCTACTCGGAAATTCCTGACATGAAGACTTCACCTCGCTTTCAAATATGGCAGAATCGTGAATAAATTCTATTGACTCCATCTCAATTACATCACCAGTAAATCACCAGTAAATTCACAAGTCCGCTCACAAATCCGGTCAAAAAGTTTCATGACCAGAAAGAAATCAATAAAAAGGTACAGGGATGAACAAAACAAAGGAATTTGTTTTGTCACTTTTATTGGGCCAATGTGGTTGACAGATCTGTATTCTGTGGTCAGCGTATAAGTAGTTAAAACTATGTTTTGCCCTTCACCAACGTTTTTTTTTTAAACACTGTATACTCAGTGTGTTACCTCCCGAGTGAAAGTTGGAAAAATCACTCGGGTGGGACTCGAACCCACGACCTCCTGCTTTCTAGTGCAGATGTCTTACCACTCGACCACCGAGCTAACGGGATCGGTTGGCCTAGAAAGCAGGAGGTCGTGGGTTCGAGTCCCACCCAAGTGATTTTTTCCAACTTTCACTCGGGAGGTAACACACTGAGTATACAGTGTTTAAAAAAAAAATGTTGGTGAAGGGCAAAACCTAATTTGATTTATATCACCCCGACGCAACATTCCATCTTATAAAAGTATAAGTAGTTATTACCTTTTGGAGCTTGACCATGGCATTGTCCGATAAACTTTTCATTACTTTGTATCAATTGATGTAATTCCACATGCTTTTCTTCCCATGTGTAAATGTACTACCGTGTTATATTTTGCCATTCATTTCAGCTTTTTATTGCCGCGCTTCTGTATAATAAGGCCCTTTCAAGGCCCTCTTTAGTTCAAGATCAGAGCTGATAGTAGTTGAATGTTATTCCCCTCAGAGACCCGGAGGGTGCGGTTGACCACGCCAAGCAGACCATCTCGGACCTCCTCTGCAACCGGATCGACATCTCACAACTTGTGATCACAAAAGAGCTGACCAAGACCGGGGAAGAATATGCTGGGAAACAGGCCCACGTGGAGCTAGCTGCAAGGTAGGTAGTCTAGGTTACATCTAGGTAACCTGCGGAGAGGTCACATGTTTTGTATTGGTATTGACTGGTTCACCGTTGATTTCTGCAATACCTGTTAACTCAAAAACCCTTTTAACTCAAAAGTAAGAACTTATTCCCATCAGTTGTTGTTGAAAAGAAAACTCATTGGATAACTCAAAACTCTGCTTAACTCAAAATTTGAGCCACTTGCCCTGAGCTTTGACTTATCGAGATTTCACTGTACATTAAAAATGTCCTTCTGACTCACTTTGCTTAATCCTGTCACATATTTGCTTCTAAGTAAAAAATACCAACAATTAATGAGAGGAATCCTTTTATTACTTTCAGAATGCGAAAGCGTGATCCAGGCAGTGCCCCAGCCCTGGGTGACAGAGTGCCTTATGTTATCATAGCGGGAGTCAAGGGAGCGGCCGCGTTTGAAAAGTCTGAGGTATTGGCTTTCTTTCATCCATATGGCACCTGTTTCTAAATGCTGCCAGTTTCCTACCGAAGTTTGGTCGTGGATAATGCTCACAGTTCACATGTTGACTTTTGGATTGAAGAGGTAACGCGTTACCTGCATTCCAACTCGGTGATCTGGCTTCAGATCCCATCTTTAACAACACAGACTATCTTATGAATAGTTAATGCGGTACCTGCTGCTATGTACACCAGATTCAAACCAGCCAACCGATCCCGTTAGCTCGGTGGTCGAGTGGTAAGACATCTGCACTAGAAAGCAGGAGGTCGTGGGTTTGAGTCCCACCCAACTGTTTTTTTTTCCAACTTTCACTTGGGAGGTAAGACACTGAGTATACAGTGTTTATACGTCCGTGAAGGGCAAAGCCTAATTTGAATAACACAGACTATGTTGTTCATTCCCTACGTTATTGATGTGCTTCCCCTTACTTTTTGTTTCTTGTCCCTAGGCTTCTGCAGTGGCCTGATTTTTTTTTAACACTATGACAATCTGCCCAACAACAACATGCTCTTTTTTAAACTTTTTTTTGGGTTGATCCGTAAGGCCAGCCTTTTGTCCTCTGACTGAGTCACTGACTGAGTCACTGACTGAGTCACTTAATAATATAAATGATCAAGGCTTTTGAGACCAGTTAACTCTTTCAGTGCCCGCGAAATTTGAAAAGTTTAACCCTAAAGTGCTCAACTTCGAGCGTTTTTTTTAATTGTTCAAAATTCTGTAAAAAAAAAAAGTAAATAAGTTTTACTCACTAAATTTGTTGTTGTTGCTCTCTGGTATATCCTTGGTACATTGGAAAGTGAATAGTAGTCACGTACATAGTGCTACACCCTGAAACACTGTCCTGCACACCGGGGAATTCCGCACTTTTTGCAGAAAATATGAGTATCAGTGCTGTGCCCTCTCGCAAGAACTCGAATGAAACAAATAATACAGGTCGTACCTGAATGAAAATGATATTATTAGAAAGAGCGAGAGCTCCCCTTTGTGATACTCTACCTCGTACATGTACGAGGTTTGGCGATTTTAAATACGAACATTACCTCGTACATGTACGAGGTTTGGCAATTTTAAGTACGAACATTACCGCGTACATGTACGAGGTTGGCAATTGCGAACTAATAAATATACCTCGTACATGTACGACTTAGGCACTGAAAGAGTTAAACAAGGTGAACCTAGTCTTGTTTAAAGCCTTGATCATTTATTAAAGTTTTAAGAGGACTTGTATTTTCTTGTAGGATCCCATCTACGTGTTGGAAAACAACATCCCCATAGACACACGCTATTACCTTGACAACCAGCTGAAGATGCCACTACTTAGGATTTTTGAACCTGTGATCGGCGAACACAAAGCACAAGCTGTTCTCTTTAGTAAGTTCTGAAATTTTGGGATTTGTTTGAGCATTTGAGCAAGTGTTGTATCGTTGCAATTGTCACACTGTTGCTAGTGTTGTATTATTACAAGGGTTGCATTATTGCAAGTGTCACAGTGTTGCAAGTACCACATCGTTGCAAGTACCGCATCCTTGCAAGTGTCGCACCGTTGCAAGTGTCACATCATTGCAAGTATCGCATCATGCTCGCATCGTTGCAAGTGTGGTATCATTGAAAGTGTCGTATCATTGTAAGTGTCGCATCGTTGCAAGTGTCGCACCGTTGCAAGTGTCACATCATTGCAAGTGTCGCATCATGCAAGTGTCGCACCGTTGCGAGAGTCGCACCATTGCAAGAATCGCATCGTTGCAAGTGTTTCTTATCATTGAAAGTGTCGCATCATTGCAGGTGTTGCATCATGCAAGTGTCGCACCATTGCCAGTGTCGCATCGTTGCAAGTGTCGCATCGTTGCAAGTGTTGCATCGTTGCAAGTGTCGCACCGTTGCAAGTGTTGCATTGTTGCTGGTCCCAGAGGTCCAGCCTGGTTTCCATTTAGTACCTGAGTGACTGATTAACTAACTCACTCATTGATTGACTGACAGTCACTTGTGTCCTAGACTAGTGAAGAGAGATGGGCAGTGCTATCAGTGTGAGGCATTCTGGCAAAATGAGGTATTGCAGGTATTAGGAAAGAGATTAAAATTGTCCTAACAGTGCTTTTTGTTGCACTTCAAAAGGACATTTCATTCACAAGCTATGGGTATTAAAGTTGCATTTATCAACATGTCAAAAAAAAAGGTAAAATTCTGAGAAAAAGGCCTTTAAAGATTTGACTGTTTTGTAGTCCTGCAAATTGACAGATGTATAAATGTGCAAATTGTTTTTCCTTAAAAATGCTTTTATTCCAATTTTTTTCTTTGAAATATGTGTAGGAAAGATATCAAAGATTACAGATATCAAACCTGATAATTGGAAAATAATCACCCATGGCCATGCGTCCTTTTGCATTTTTCTCCATTACAGCCTGTGCCCAGTAATCACGTCCTATTTTGCCAGAAAGCCGCGCGTATAGGATTACCATTGTGTAGACCAGATGCATGAAAATACTTCCCTAAATTCACCTGTAGTTATACAGAAAACTTTCATTGGTTGGGGTGATCATAACATGTACATGATGTAGTTTAAGCTTCTACCAACCTGAAAATTAGTGGGCAAGCTTTCATCCACTCCTGTGGACTTTCTCAAGCCAAGTGATTGTGTACTCAGTTTCTTGCCGTCTGTTGTCCCGAGATCACTGGAGCGTAGATAGGTGATAATGAGTAACCAGAGTCCCTATTCAGTGAGGGATTAATCCTTTTGATCCAGATGGATTTTTTCACCTTTCTTGGCCCGAAATGTGTTTCAAAGTCGATAATGTGGGCACTGTCCCATCCAATGTTGTGTCCAGTATTAAGGGCGTGTTCTGCAACTGCTGAAAGAGATGGATTGTTCAGTCTAAGAGCTCGTTTGTGTCACCTTTAGTTGTTTGAAATATGTCACTTTACAAATAATTCAATTTGTTATATTTCCAGAGGGTGAACACACTTTGACCAAAACTAAAGTTACTTCCAAGATCGGCGGTCTGATGGCCTTTGCGAAGAAGCGAAGTACTTGCATTGGATGTAAAACTCCACTGGATAAGGACAACTCTGCTGTCTGCAAACACTGCAAGAATATAGAGACAGAAATTTATCAGAAAGAGGTATTGTGATGTTTTATTTTACTAACAGCTAGGATAGGGCGACAGATTTTGATAACTCCGTCCACAATAGGGCGACACACCTTATTAAGGCGACATATAACTGTCGCCCTTTTGTGAAAACGACCCTTATGACAAGGAATGTTGCTGTCGCAAACCATCTAGATCGATTCCTCGTGGTCCAATAAGTAAACATACTGAATTTTGTGGAAAAAGGATAAGGTGAACTTGGGTTAGGTGACAGTTTAGGTTTGTGCACACGTCTACGGGAAAGTCGCCCTAGTGTAGCAAAAAGAGTAATTATTATTATTAATATTATTCTGGTTTATTAAAAAACAAAAAAACAAGTCGGCATCCACTAATGTAGATTATGAGCCTGGCTTTAAAGTTAAAGATTACTAATACATAGTATCAATAAAAGAATATATATTCGTACAATTTTTATTATGCTCGTTAATAACAAGTACAATAAAAATGGTGGATTAAACACCTGATGTTGACAGTTTCCCCAATGCAATGTTTTCTTGCTTTGAACTAATTTCCATTCAGGTTATCCACTTGAATGCCTTGGAGGAGAAGTTTGGTCGATTGTGGACGCAGTGCCAACGGTGTCAGGGAAGTCTGCACGAAGACATCTTGTGCACAAGGTAAGCATTAAATAATATTTAAATAAATAAGACTGCTGCAAACTGCTTACTTATGAAGCCCGGGAAGGGACAGGGTAGAACTTTTTTGGGGGATTTGCTAATTCGTTCCCACGAATAATTAATTCGTTCGCATGAATTGCTAATTTGTTCGCACGAATTGCTAATTCGTTCGCACGAATTGGTGCTAATTTGTTCGCACGAATTGCTAATTCGTTCGCACGAATTGCTAATTCGTTCGCACGAATTGCTAATTCGTTCGCACGAATTGCTAATTCGTTCGCACGAATTGCTAATTCGTTCCCACGAATTGCTAATTCGTTCCCACGAATTACCAATGCGTTCCCACGAATTACTAACGCGTTCCCGGATGCACGAGTTAGCAATTCGTTCCCACGAATTAGGAAATCATGCGAACGAAATAGCAATTCGTGCGAACGAAAAAGCAATTCGTGCGAACGAGTTAGCAATTCATGCGAACGATATAGCAATTCGTGCGAACGAAATAGCAATTCGTGCGAACGAGTTAGCAATTCGTGCGAACGATATAGCAATTCGAGCGAACGAAATAGCAATTCGTGCGAACGAGTTAGCAATTCGTGCGAACAAATTAGTAATTCGTGGGAACGAGTTAGCAATTCGTGCGAACGAATTAGCAAATTACCAAAAATAAATTCCACCCTGTCCCTTCCCGGGCTTCATACTTACTGACTGGTTTGACGTGAAATATATCAATCAACAAAATTAATGCGGCCTGACGTTGCGAACTTAACAAGTTCTTCAGAGGCAAAATGTTGGAGGTACAAGAAACAAACATACATGTAGGGAATCACAAGCATGCAGGGTTCAGAGGAGAAACACAAATATGTGAGGCATTGTGGTAAAATGAGACAGAAATGCGCACAGGCCTTAGAGGAGAAAAAGAAAATGCACCAAAAAAAAAAAAAGGTACAGGGATTATTCTGTAAGTTTTAGATTTATCGATATTTGTAATTGTTGATTTGTTTGCTTCACATATTTTAAAGAAATAGTTCAAAATCGTGGAATGAAAGTGTTTTTACCAAAAAAAACCAATTAGCATCTATCATTTCCATGACTACAAATCGCGAATCTTTAAAGGCCTCTTTCTCATTATTTTACTTGTTTGACATGTTGATAATGTGAATTCTAAACAGCATTACTTGTCAACGGAAAGTCCGATTGAGACATGCACAATTTAACAGAATGGGTCAAGTTCTGCTGTACACAATAGCTTAGGAAAGTACTACAGTATGAACGCAATTAATGCAGTGAAGTACATACTAGTATGACAGGGTGACAAAAAGGGAAGTTCAGAAAGGATGGACATAATGTTCATAATGTTTGGTTTGGTTTGGACATCCATTAACAGAGTTGTAAATCACCCGATTTGAGGTATATTTGTTACTCATTCGTGACTAAATAATCATAACGCCTCAGGGATTTTTTTTTTGCTAGGAAGATGCATAAAACCGCCAGATGTATAACCATAATCATTATGACTGCCTACGTCAATGATTTTTTTATTTGCAAAGTTGTTTTGCTGTTCCTTGAAATGAATGAATTACTATACCCCTGGAAAAGGTGAATATATTATTAATATTCACTGCTAATTTGACAAATTCCAGATGTATACTTGAGGGCACTGCCTTGTGTCCAGATTTTGCCTTCTTCTGACACATACTGGTAGAATCTCTTGAACGTTTTTTTTCTTGAATTATAGTTTTTCCCATCTTGGTTTTGATAATGTTTTTAGCCGTGATTGTCCCATCTTCTACATGAGGAAGAAAGTTCAGAAGGACCTCGCCGACCAAGACGCAATCATCAAACGATTTGGCGTTCCAGTCTGGTGAAGCTTTGGAAATCCAAGGTGAGCCTGGAAATGAAAACAACAAAAACAAACAACAAACAAACAACCCCCCAAAATAACATAAACAACAGTAGATGATCTTGCCATCATTTTGTCATCTCCTTTTGAGTTGAAAGTCACCAGCGCTCTTTGTGAGTTTACAGGGCATTAAAAAGTTGCTGTCGTTAAGTTGATTAAAAAGTCAGCTGTGGAAGTTAGAGTGGACCATTTGCAGATATCCTAAAAGTAACCGTCCAAATTATTGTGAAAATACTTACTTGGTTTAAAGATAGTAATGACGCAAAACTCCCTGTTAAGGCCAAAAAAAAAAGTCTCCGGTTTCTGGTATGGAGCTTGCCCAAAAAGTGGTGCAGCGACGCGGCTTTTTTTTTTTTTTACCTGATTTTTTTGTTTCAAATGTCGGCTAATGACTGCAAATGGTGCCCTACTTAACTTAGTGCAAATATATGGGAGTCCAGAGAGGCCACATAAAGCTTATTTTCGACCATAACCCAATCTAAAAACACGTTAAAATTGTGCAGCAGCAGGATTCCAGTCAAACCAGTGAGTTTGGCGGTTTTGAGACATCATCTTTCATTGAAAAAAAACCTTTTTCATTTTGCCGACGCGCATGGCTACGGCGATGCATGTGCATACCAGAAACCGGATACTTTTTTGGGGGGGCCTAAACTATTCCTTCTGGCATGCTGTCATGTTGAAGAAAACAATAAAAGAAGGTCAATTCCACAGATTTATCAATTGACACATTTTTGGAAATTACCGTGAATACCGCCTCCATGAGTTCTATAAATTTGAAGTTGGTTTGTAATTGGGCAAATCCGTGAATGGGTGGATGCAAGCGAGCCGAATTGACCTCATGTCCCAAATGCTGATTTTTGGGATTGTGTCACGAGAGGTCGCAATAAGCCTTTTTGGAGTTCCAACTGCGCATTCATAACCTGTGACAACGCGCATTGTTTGTCTCAAATGGCCTTTGACATCATCGCGCCACTGACTTTACAAAAAGGCTGTTTGTGCGTTGTGGGTACTGTCAAAGGGCATTTGAGACAAACAATGTGCGTTGTCACAGGTTACGAATGCGCGCAGTTGGAACTCCGAAAAGGCTTATTCAAAATATGACTCATCAACTTTGGAATTGAAATCGAGATCCAGAATATTGTGTATATATTGTTCTGTTTTCTTGACATAAACAGCATTCACAGAGCTTAACTTCATCAGGTAACTTAACCCTAAAAGGGCCGGGGGGGGGGGGGGGGCACGGAATGCGCCCCCCCCACCCCCTCATTTTTTTTTTCAAAGCTATTGCGAAAAAAAGTTGCGGGGGGGGGGGGGCGTCTCAAGGTCTTAAGGTTTTGATAAATTTGTGGCTTCAAACGAAAAAAAAATGCACAAATTACAAATGGTCCATTCTACCTTTCAGAAAAATTGTTAAATATGATGCACATGTAACGAGCTTAAGAAAATCAAAAGTTTTTGTTATATTTTATACTTCATGCAAAGATTAACGCATGTTAATGCTAAAGGAAGCGGGAGTAAAATGCTTCTAATTAGAAGTTTGAGACCTTATTTGTTACATGTATTTTTGGCTTATTATTTTTTGAGGACTCATTACTTCGGTAATGCTAGAAAAGAAGCAATCATGTTTGATTATTTTTTTTTTTTCTGTTGTGCAACACCCCAAGAGCATGGATAGCAGGCCCATAGCATAAAGTATCCTGATACCACAATAGTGTTCTATTATGGTTGCAGGCCAGTAAATCGGTCCGAAATTGCCTGCGCCGGCCAAATCACGATTTGCATGCCCTCAAAATCTTCCGTATTTGAGCATGCTGTGGGCCATGAACTTGAGGGTTTGTAAAAAATATGGGTGGAAGCCTCGCACAGGACTGTGAGCTTGTAGTTCCGTTCAATTTGGATGAAATTGGGGCCCTTAAAGCGCTCTATTTTGCAATAGAGTGTAGGCATCGTTTTTCAACATGGCGATGGGCTTCAGGACTATTTTTAGGGGTGATCATCTTCGGATGGAAATTTCTCCTAAAACTCCCCGAAAAAATTGAAAAGAAAATGAAAGATGATGAAATAAGCTTTAATTTGATGTGTGTCTCGAACACCTTGGAGAGTTGTGAGTATTTTTCCCGAATTTTTGAAGTGTGAGCATTTACCATTGGGGTCTATGGAAGTTTATTTACTGGTCTGCTACCTTTAGTTCATGGTGATGAAACTCTAAAATATTGATCACTGTAATATGGTGTTGGCGCCCTCTCTTGGCCAGTCAGAGTTAGTTCACAGGTTTCTTGATGTTGCTCTTCTCCATTCTAAAACACGTTTATTTCCTTTGATGCAAGCTGAATATTTCTAGCCGAGTCTTGAATGTTTCAGACTTTCCATATAACAGACGTTTCCTTATTGCGGTTTAGCTCGGTATTGTTTTCGTAAAGTATGTCAGTGTTATTGACAGAATGTGTATCAAGTGTGGATATTCAAGCTGTATACATGTATTTGGCATTCTAGCAAATGTATATGCTCTTAAACTAATGTAAAACTTAAATTACTACACAATTACGTATTGAACAAAACTAATTAATCACGAGCAGTGATGTCGGATAACTATTTAAATTATTTGTAGTTTTTGTTGAACATTTATTGATTATTCTGGAGCATACCATTCAACAATAACAATATAATTGTATGAAGTCTCCCACAGAAATTTGTGTTGTTTTGGTGTCATTTTTGTGTGTTGTGCTGTCATTTATTTTACCTGTGCATGTCATTCATGTTCACAACTAGGCATTTTTACTCTCCTAAATTTATTTGGCTTAGTTGAATGTACATCACCTTGTCTTAAATTGGCAGTTTCACAAAGTTATTGTCCAATGAAAAGACGTAGCCAAAAACTAACCATCCCTCTGCCCTTTTGCCAAAGGCTTTGCACAAAGGCCTATGCCTTAAAGGGAAAATACAACATTTGCAAACGTCAAAAAATAAAACTACCAAATCATTTTGAAATACCTTGCTGGACTGTTAGTGAATGACAGTGTAAAGCATCCTGTAAAATCATGGCACCTGGTATACTGTCATTTTCAAGAAAAGTGGTATTTTTGTGTTTTTGTATTTTTGGCTTTTTTTCAAATACTGTCCCCAGTTGACCATCGCACTTGTTTACAATCGATTACACACCTATGAACGGGTACAAGCCAGCTAGACTGGGTCCCTGACCGTACAATTCCCTAATATATGTAAACTGCTCTGTTTCTTCTTAAATGGAGTCAGGGAACCAGACTACAGGAAAATGATTGTTTTTCTTGGTTTTTATAGCATTTTCGAACCCAAAACCTCAAAAAAGCCAGTGTAACTATATTTGCTATATATTTCCAACCCCCCAATTCCATCCATTTCTGAAAATTACAGCAAAAGCAAATGATGTATATTCCCTTTAACGTACCACTGCTGCGCTTCCATATATGTTGCAGTTTAAAGTTGGAGAACGGTCATACAAATTTCTCTTCAGTCAAACATAATCTTTCATCAGTTCATCGGTATTTTATCCTTTGCCTTTCCAAGATGACTTCTCTGTCTTCGGACGGTAATATCCTATGTTACCCCTTCAGCTATTAAAAGCTAGTTGTTAACTTTGGCCAATCACATTGGGTGTATTGTAGTACTGGTAGTGAAGATCTGTGAGGGGTGTGTTTCTTAGATAATCTTCTATTGGTCAGTATCTGCTCTTTTGGAAGAGAGTATCCAGTGTTACTCCTTCAGCTATCTCCTGTATAAACCTGATTATAAACTTAAGCCAATCAGAATGGACATACTGTATTTAGTGATGATCTGTGAGAGGTATTTTTTAACCGATCTCCTATTGGTCAGCATGAAGGAAAAATATTGTTACCCATTTTTTTTTTACTGAATTGTAGGCAGTTTGTATTTGTTTTTTTATGCATCCTTCATCTCAGCAATCTTTATGTTCGGTATATAAAATTCACTGGTTATTTATGCTTATATTTAAAAAAAAAAATTGGGGGTGGGGAGGGAGAAGGCAGATTTAGTTTATCCTACTTATTTCGTGTTCAGGATAATGACGGCACTTTATTTGAGAAATCATCTCTGGTGTAAAGAAAATTGGAATGTATTCTGCCCATGTATTGGAATATTTATTTTAGCTATTAGTCTTGGAGATGATTATTTCCTGGCTGACACTAGCAAATTATTTTGAGATGTTATTTTCCTTTCCTGCCATCCGGGTTGACAATGAGCCATGCGTGGGTGAGAATTTTAATCCCTCCTTTTAATAAACAGTGGGAGTTTAAATCTGGTGTTTTTCTGAGATAATGAGTCGCATTCATATCGATTTCCTAAACCTGCCGGCAGTGTGTCTTCACTGTTTTTTTTTATAACAATGATGTGAAACCTTTGTTGTGTTTGGCATCAATTGTCTTGTCTAGTCCAGTCTAGTCCAGTCTAAGTTGTTCCACTCTAGCAGTCATGATCTTTCTTTGACAGAAAATTGCGTAGGTGGGCCGACGTCATCAAGAGTTATTGTTTCTCTGCATTGTTAGCTTTCTGTTTTTCAAGAGAATGGCATTTTTTGCTTTCTTTTATTCAGTACATGATTCGTCATCCAATTGTTCACTGTTCAGTGCCCTATTATTCCTTCCACCAATCAGATGTCATGATACAAACAATCTGCTTCTATCCTGTCTTGTCATTGGTCATTTGTCTCCTCAACCAGTAGGTGTTTAATCCTAGTGTTTTTCCACCATAAGCTCGGTCTTTCATGTCTGTTTTTCCAAGCCGGTGGGAGGTCACATGTTATCGCCTTATCGTTTTTAAGTGACAGTAATTACGGTCATTGTTGGAGATAAGTGTCATTGTTCTCCGCAAGGTCACACAGATCCTCTTCTGTCTTTGTCACTATGGTGGCACAAACAAGTACCACTCTCGAGAACATGTAAACATTTTAGAGGCATCTTCTGTTCAATTTTAAATTACTTCTGAATCTGGTGCAAAGTACTTCTATTTTGGCATTGCACATCAAATTCCATGCAGATACTAACCCAACACATATCTTTATTGCAGAGATGTTTGACGTTAATAAGGCATGGGATTTTTCAGACTTTTGTCTGAAATCAGACTTTTTGCATCTGAGCGAAAGACATTAATTAGTATAGGAAGATATGCATCTTTCAGACATTTCATCAATTTTAAGACTTTTTTTAATGGACAATCTAGTCCCTGTTTAATAGAAGGGTGTCAGCCAAAAAGTCTTACAATTTTAGAACTTTTTTGGTGACCCCAAAGTTAAATCTGATTGGAATCATTTGTTAGGTTCAGAAGATTTTGTCCTGAAATTTGTGCAAAATATTTGGAAAAAATATTCAAAAAATGATGTGAGTGTGCACAGTAATGTTTACTTTGTAAACGATCACTCCAAACAACAACATTTGCGAGCATTGTGTGACCGTCTCCTTGCGCATTCAGGCATCTGCCATGGCTGTTCAATGGGCCTTATTCACGAGTTGGCCATTTGTGTTGAGGTTCCCTGAACGTATTTCATTAAGTGTTTATTTGTTCATTGGGATGGCGCCAGACTGTTATTTTACTGTTTTTTTTTTTTTTAATCAGGCTTTAAACATTAGGGAAATTGTAATTACAAATTTAGAGTTTTTCATTGAAGCAGACTGGAATTAATTAGGAATAAACTTGCTTTCATTTCTCTTAACGAGTTCCAATAATTAAGATTTTACCTCACTTTCAATTCAGTATGGCCGACTTGTGAACAAGGCCCATTATCCCGAACGACCTGTGACCCATATCATTGAGCGCTTGCGCTGTTGAAATACCGAACTGGCTTATTTTCAAATTTTTTTTTTTTAAATTGACAGTCTTGCCCCATCATTCTACTTAATTTAAAATAGTGAGAAATTGGGTTAAATGATGAGTAGATCCCCTTATCATAACAAAATTCATATTTTGGATTCTGTGATATACTTTTCCTTATTTACTTTTGTGTTTTCTTTTAATGGAGTATTATGTTCTTCCTTATTTTTGTTTCAACATTTACAACTTTTCCTGGCTTTGGGGTAATAATATCCTCTTACGATTCCAGTGTGTAACCTGCATATCCAACAGAATTAGAAAATAAAGTTGTCCGAGTCCTAAATAATCCAATATTGTACATCATGTCCATGACATATTGTTCAAAAGAACTAAATTGTGTCTGCCCCAAATTGCGTGGAATATTTCTCAAATATTTCCACAATATGTCCTTTCCTCCACTGCACCAACTTCAACCGAGCTTAAAAATAGACCACAGCTAGCATCATCCAAAGGGTAACTTGGCTCAGTGCCACCTCTCTTTAAGCGTACCTGGGAAATGTTAATATTGATGAGGCACAGACTCTCTGCTCATTGGTCATTCTCTCAACTCATGATTATTCATGAAGTTGTTCGTAGGTTGTGATTGGCTTGTGCCTTCGTGGTTGCATATGTATTGGGGGTTGAGCCTGAGCTTTTTAGTTCGTGATCAGAAGGCCTTATAAGGTAAACCACATGCAGTTACATATACGAACACAGGTTTGACCGCAAGAGCTAGGTGCTTGTCACAGGTTGTCTCTGACGTCAATGTTTAATTGTCAAAAATTAAGAGGATATTTTTCTGTCAGGAGGAAAAGAAAAATCAGTTGATTGTGGTCCTGAGCCTTAAATGGTAGCAAGCTAGAGGCTTGTGTCATATGTTTGCCTTTGGAACAATCATTGGTTGTAATAAGGTACGACAATTGTTGCATGGAGCCTGGGTTCTGTGTCACAGAAATTTTGACAGTGGAAATTATTTTTGTTAGGGCAACAATTTTTGATGCAACTGGGAAACATGCTTATGATATTTTACTTATTGGTGAAGTAGCCCTGGAAACTAGGTCAGCAAGAGCAGCATACCAGCCAAAATGCCATACAATTGTGTATTCATGGTAACCGGTTACCAGCTACTTTTTGATGAAACTATTGTTTGAAGTGGGGAGGAGGATAGGCTGGGGAAGGGTGGAGTGGGGTGGGGAGGGTTGGAGTGGGGTGGAGTGGAAGGGGAGGGACTGTTTGGGATAGGTAACTACTTTTGATCATACTGTATCTCTACATAAGGGGGAATCAGGTTGACATAGCAGTACTTTCCTTGCCTTCCACCGCTATGACCCGGGTTCAAGTCCTGCCTGGGCTAACATGTGGATTAGGTTTTCAGTCCCAAGTTTGTTTGGTTAGATAACACCTTCTTTCCATCATACTGTGTCTCTACATCAGGGGGAATCAGGTTGGTGTAGCGGTACTTTCCTCGCCTTCCACCGCTATGACCGGGTTCAAGTCCTGCCTGGGCCAACATGTGGAATAGGTTTTCAGTCCCAAGTCTGTTGGATTAGATAACACCTTCTTTTGATCATACTGTATCTCCACATCTGGGAGAATCAGGTTAGCGGGACTTTCCTCGCCTTCCACTGCTATGACCCAGGCTCAGATCCCGCCTTGGCCAACATGTTGATTGTGTTTTCAGTCCCTGCCTGAATCCGAGGGGGTTTCCCTAGGATATCATTCTGGGGTTTTCCTCCCACCACTAAACTATCGGTTCCTTTCACATGATCTACCAAGTCTTATCCGTCCCGTTCTGGTGCTTGCACTGTTGGATGTCAAAATAGGTAAATTAAACAAATAATTCCCTTTGCC